GGAAGGAAGGAAGGAAGGAAGGAAGGAAGGAAGGAAGGAAGGGAGGGAGGGAGGAAGGAAGGGAGGGAGGGAGGGAGGGAGGGAGGAAGGAAGGAGCGTGTGCCGGCTCAGAGGCTGAGGAAGGCCAGAAGGGAAGTCCCCATTGGACACAAACCAAAAGTATTTCTACACATCAGACACAAATATTACTGAAGCTGGCACTGCCTGATACAGGAAATTAAACTGCTCATTTTAAATACGCAAGCATCACAGGATAACAAAATTAAATGAAGCAAAATGAATAACACTCTTAAAATTAAGCTCTGCATAGTGGTATATGGGTAAGGCTTTTCAATATGCTGGCATAAGGACGTTCATGCAGTTTTGGTAAAATATCGCCCAAGTAACCCGAAAGCCAACTGTATCTCAAAACTTCATAAAAACCGAGGCGAAATGGTCCATTCACGTACTAATGCGACACTGTAGGAAACTCTTCAGCACGGCTGCTTTCCACATTCACGGTGTCTGAACAAGGGAACCACAAAGGCTGAAGAAACGGTTATCTCCACTACACCAACAAAAAATGCAAGTGTCTCTCTATGGAAGCAGCTGGCCCCATATGGTGTAACTGATCCTGGACTGTCCCACTTCAGGCTGCATGTGGGGAATTATTCTTTCCTATATTTTCCAGAAAACATTGCATGCAGGAAGCGAGGTGCTGGGGTGTGTGTGTGAGAGCGAGAGCTCTAGCCTTAGCCATCTCACTGAGAGGACGTTAGCTTTCTATGTGCAGGAATTTCATCCACTACCAAGAGGGAGCTTTCAGTCCTGCAGTTCTCCACTTGAATGATAGGAATAGTTTACCCCCCTGGAGAAATATTTTTAAAGCCTCTGTGATATCGCCAGGGCGAATGCAGGTTGTTCCAGTGAACACTCTTCCCAGTTCCTTTGAACACGGCATCTGGAAACTTAATAGAAATTCTGCTGCTCTAATTTCTGAATCCTGTTTTTTGTAGGAGTGCATTCACCACCACTGTCTTTGCTCTGCCACTCGGAAAGGTGGTGCTTCTTGGTTTTCTGAAGCCAGCTCAAGTAAAGTACAAAACCCAGCAATAATTATTTCCAGAGACAGGGCATACAGGAAAAAGTACATTAGAATGACCATTGAATACTTACTGAGAAAGGTCATTCTCCTCCGAGGAATGGAGTACATTTTGATGGGTGTTTCCCACTGTTCAATCAGGAAGGCAGGAGCAATTATTTTCAACTTCCTGTCTCTTGCCTGTGGGAGCCACCCCCTTCAGCTCTGCTAACTCCAAAAGCAGAAAGACTGAACGTCAATTCAAGGGGAAAAAAACAAATGGGCAAGAGCCGAACAACAACCTAGATAAGAAGAACAGGCGATTCACACCACTGAGACAAGAAGTGTACCAGCTGAGCAACCAGACTGACAATGACTTTGGGAGGGGCAAGATGTTCTCCTTTCCTCAGAGAAGAATGACGCTTCATGGTAAGTATCCAATGGTCATTCTCCCTTTGAGGCAGAGGACATCTTGATGGGACCTCCCAGAGCAGTGTCCTCATTTAGTGGCTGGGTCATCGTCTTCTGGATCTAGAATATGTTGTAATTCATTGGTTCCAAAGACAGTATCATCAGCTGAGTAATAAAAAAGACTGTCATCGTTAGGATGTCTTACAGAGGTGGATATTGTCAACCATTATAGCTGCCTAGAAGGATTCTTCAGCTGTGGGGTGTTAGATAATGGCTATGTCGACTGCGGCCCATCTGAGTGTGTGGTGATCTCAAATGGTATGTCTAATTTAAACTTTGTATGCTTCAGTGATGGAGACCCTAAGAGAATTGCTGAAGTTTGATTTGACGTCCTCCTTCTTTCATTCGGTGGAGAGATGGATATGAATAAGGGATCGGTTTAAACATATGTCTTACATCCCAGACGTGTTGCGGATTCTCTTCTGGATGAATACGATCCGGACAAAACAATGGAAGGTAAAGCTCCCTGAAACCACAGACAGTTGAATTTACCTTTGGGTCTGTCTTAGTGACCACTTGTCTTCATTGAGACTCAAATTTTGGCTTTACTGAATGAGCACCAAGTGTAGACACCCTATGGACTGCTATAAGAAACAGAGTACTGATCCCCAGCCATCTAAGTGGAACCTCCTTAATAGGCCCAAGAGGGCTTCTGGCGAAAACCGAGAGTATGGTATGTGGTTCCTGCACTGGAAATATGCACCTCGTCATGGACCATTTAGAGTGAGAGCCATTTTGGTGCAGTGGTTAGGAGCGCGGACTCTAATCTGGGAGAACCACTCCTCCACATGCAGCTGCTGGTGTGACCTTGAGTCAGTCACAAGTTCTCTAAAGGTTGTTCTCTCAAGAGCAGTCCTCAAAAGAGCTCTCTCAGCCCCACCTACCTCACAAGGGAAGAGAAATGAAATTGTAAGCCGCTCTGAGACTCTGAGTGAGGAGTGGGGTATAAATCCAACCTCCTCCTCCTCTTCTTCTAGAGTAATACTGCAGGGAAGGTGGTGAACTTGGGAGTGTCTGGATAGGCTCAGACCCTGGAATGGAGGCAACACCGTCACCAGAGATGCGACATGACATTTTGAGATAGGATCCTTGAGTTCGCTGTCATGTTCGTCTTGTCAAAAGAACAGAACCGATTTAGCTTCGGTTACAGGGAGATTGATGTCTCTCCCCTTACTCCACTGACAGGAACATTTAATGAATTAGTGTAAATTCTGCTGGATAACCATTTCCAGATCTAGTAGGGGATCCGTTACTTCCGTCAAAGATCTAGACGTAAAAAGATGAGTATTGCTTTCCGTCCCTAATCTTCCTGATTAATAATTATTTTTTGGGGGGGCAATATAAGGTTACTTGGTCACTGAAATGTTAAAGCATCGGTTGCTTCAGAAGATGGGTGAAGAAAAACCTGGCGGAACACTGACTCACTTGATCTCTGCATGGCCAGGCAAACAGGACTAGTAAAGGGAAACCCAAAGTGGGACACGTGGCCATCCGGGTCAGACCTCTCGGGAACCCCACATTCCCTCCCTCCCTCCCTTAGAGGGCATCAATGTGCTCCTCTCTGCCTTAAGTAGGGTCTTGTAAACCTCTCAGATGGAGATTAGATCCTCTGGACTATTGTGGTAAGTTTGGCAGATACATGATTGTCCTGATTAGAACACGTCAACCGCATATCTGTGGGTTGAGGAAGATAAAGTCAGGTACACAACTGAAGCTTGGGAGGTTGATAAGGACGTTTGTCTCACTCCTGGACCACCGACGTGTACTGGCGAGTCCTCTAGCACTGCCCCCAACAGGACACAGTAGAGTCTGTGAAGATCCACTTCACCTCCGGAACACAGTATTTCTTACCTGAAATGGATTGAGAATCCTTCTCCACCAAACAGTGGACTAGATTTTACTGATGGAGGATTCTCCTTAGTAATAAATTGTAAATAAAAATGTCTCAGAAGCCACTGAAATGGTCTCATGTATAAACAAACCCACTGTATGGCATCAACATGCAAAGTCAATAGGGCCATCGGCTGCAAGCATCATCAGTGATGAAGAGCTGCTCTAGGAACCATTTGTGACGAATCCGTTTCTTGCCTTCTACTTCAATGGAGAGAGGCAATTGCACATTTGACCATCAAGAAATCTAACTGCTCTAATTTCTGAGTAGGGTCTGAAGAACCTAACTGAAGATTGACAAGGAGTCCATAGTCCTGCAGACAGGGCCTAGTTGTGTCTGCTCGTGAGTATGGCTTGGTCACAGAACTTGATCTGATCTACAAGTCATCGATAAGGGAGTGATCAAGATCTACTGAAGTGGGACACTCACCCGGCTATAAAAGCACAGCAAGAAAAACTGAGACGTTTCCTTGTCCCCCTTCTAAGGAGGGAATGTGTTTTATGTCCCGAATGCTAAGAAATGATGTGTAACAGTATGGATTCTGCAGACCCCTACTGGCCCTTGTGTGTGTGTGTGTGTGGGGGGGGGAAATTCCAACATGGTTTAATGAACCGGTCTCCAATTTGCCCTATTTGGGCAAACTTATTGAGAGGGCGGTGGCAATACAGCTACAGAGTTTTCTGGAGGATGCTTCAGTCTTAGACCCCTTCCAGTCCGGCTTTCAGCTGGGTCATGAGACAGGCATTGGTCGACCTGACTGACGACCTCCGAAGGCATCTGGATTGAGGTGGTGTGGCGGCACTGTCGTTGCTCGATCTGTCGGCCGCATTTGATATGGTCGATCACCAGTTGCTGGCCCACCGCCGCACCGATGCGGGGATTCAGGGGCCTGCCCTCCAATGGTTTGCCTCTTTTCTCCAAGGTCGGGGACGAAGGGTGGCGATAGGGGAGCAGCGGTCCCAGAGGCACCCTCTTGATTGTGGGGTGCCTCAGGGGGCAGTGCTGTCCCCGATGTTGTTTAACACCTACATGCGCCCCCTTGCCCAGAAGTATGGGCTGGGGTGTCATCAATATGCGGATGACACCCAGCTCTATCTGATGCTGAGCAGCCGGTCGAACTCCGACTCAGATGACCTCCAACGAGCGTTGCAAGCCGTGGCTGGTTGGCTCAGACTGAGTCGGCTGAAACTAAACCCGGCGAAGACGGAGGTCCTGAGCCTAGGCCGGGCCAGTTCAGGGTTGGGGCTCCCTCTCCCGACCTTTGATGGGGTGCCTTTGGTGCCAGCGTCGGGGGTTAGGAGTTTGGGTGTGCTCCGGGACTCCTCTTTAACGATGGAGGTCCAGGTAGCAGCCCAAGTTGGCCTTTTATCATCTTCGGCTGGCACGGCAGTTGGTTCCCTTCCTTGACCGTGATGACCTGGCTACAGTGATCCATGCGATGGTCACCTCGAGGTTGGACTACTGTAACGCTCTCTACTTGGGGCTGCCTTTGTCGCAAATCCGGAAGCTGCAGCTAGTGCAGAATGCAGCAGCCAGGCTGTTGACGGGTCTCCCTAGGCGGGACCACATCCGGCCTGTGCTGAAGGCGCTGCACTGGCTGCCAATAGTGTACCGGATCCGCTTCAAAGTGGTGGTTCTTACCTTTAAAGCCCTTTATGGTCAGGGTCCGGCATACCTAAGGGACCGCCTTTCCCCTCAGCAAACAGAAGAACTCTCACAATGGCCAGCACAGCAGAGGGTGGCCTCTCTCTTCATATAACTTCTTGTTCTTTCCCAAAGGAATTAGAATGTAAGGAAGAACAGTGAAAGGAATTAAAGTATATAAAAGTAGTTATGAGGGAAGATAGATATGGCTGAGTAAGAAATTTATAGTTTAACAACGCATAAAACGGCTGCAGCAGCAGGAGACAGCCTCTCTCTCTATCTTGCTGTTCTTTTCCAAAAGAGTTAGAATGCAAAGAAGAACAGTGAAAAGAATTAAAGAAAGTATATAAAGGTAGTTATGGGGGAACATGTAGCAGATTGAATAAGGCTGAGTAAGAAATTTAGAGTTTTAAGAAAAACTCTTAACATGGCTGCCGCTGCCGGAGGTGGCCTCTTTACATTGTCTGTTGGTCTTCAACAAAATGAGTTAGAATATAAGAAAGAACAACGAAGGGATTAAAGGAAATACATAAAGGCAGTTATGAGGGAAAATATGCAAGACTGACTAGAGCTGAGTAAGAGTTCGATGAAGGCAAGGCCTGGTCTAAGCTGCTCTCCCTGTAGAGGCAGGAAAAGAACTGAAGGGGGCGGGCAAGAGCCAAGAAGGGGGGGGGGGGGGGAAATGTTTCTGCCTTCTGCCTCCCTGATTGTGGACGGTGGGAAACACCCATCGAAATGTCCTCTGCCTCAGAGGGAGAACCTTCAGCTATTTATGCAGAGAAAACCTGGCAGTTACATGCTGCTTTTGTAGGCCAGAGCCACCCACTAGTCATCACTGGGCAACAGGACGTCCCTTAGAGCCCAATATTTCCACCCATATCGCTCCTCTTGGGGAGTTAATTCCCCTGATGTTTTCTAACTTATTTGATTTTATGCCCTCTTTTATGTACAATGCACCACCTCCACCAACCAGTCCCTCCCTGTCCTGCCTGATGTCCAGGAATGACTGTATCCCATAGATTTCTCCCATTCCATCATAGAATCATGGAAGGTACCTCCAGGGGTCATCTAGTCCATCCCCCTGCACAATGCAGGAAGTACACAAATACCTCTCCCTTCACACTCCTAGTGACTGCTGTTCCATGCTCAGAAGATGACAAAAAACCTCCAGGATCTCCAGCCAAACTGGCCTGGAGGAAAATTGCTTCCTGACCCCAATGAGGCGATCAGCATTTCCTTGGGCGTATAAGAAAGGGCCACAAGAACTAAGCACTGAGGCAACCCTTCCTGCCCTCCCTCTCGTGATCTGCCTAATTTCACACAATCAGCATTGCTGTCAGATGGCCATCTAGTCTGTTTGAAAACCTCCAAGGAAGGAGAGCCCACCACCTCCTGAGGAAGCCTGTTCCACTGAGGAACCACTCTAACTGTCAGGAAGTTCTTCCTGATGTTTAGCCGAAAACTCTTCTGATTTAATTTCAACCCGCTGGTTCTGGTCCGACCTTCTCGGGCAACAGAAAACAACTCTGCCCCATCCTCTCTAGGACAGCCCTTCAAGTACTTGAAGATGGTGATCATGTCACCTCTCTGTTAGCTCCTCTCCAGGCTCAACATACCCGGCTCCTTCAACCTTTCCTCATGGGACTTGGTCTCCAGAGGTACCTTCTATACCTAAATTGTCTCTGTATACCAGGCACTCCAGCTCTTGGCTTGGAGACTTCTAGCCCTGGCATGCGGATGCCTATAATGTGTTTCCCTCCCCAGTAACCCTCGCCTCCCTCAGCCCCTCAGTCACCACACATGGCCCTCCGTCTCCATCCTGCCCTCACTCCCAAGTTCTATGACACTTGTTGTTAGTATTACCCTGAATGTCCACACAGCCATCCCATTGGACTGACGTGTCCCAATCCGGAGGATCCCCAGCTCCTGTCAGCCTTCCCCCCGGGATTAGCTTAAAAGCAGCTCTGCCACCTTTTTTGATATTAATCGCCAGCAGCCTGGTTCCCTTTTGGTTCAAGTGAAGCCCGTCCCTTTTGTACAGGTTCGGCTTGCCCCAGGTGGTTCCCCAGTGCCTAACAAATCTAAACCCTTCCTCCCGGCACCACTTTCCCATCCAAGCACTGAGACTTCTGATCTGTGCCTGTCTAGCTGGAATTAGTGGGATGTGGTCCATGGGGTCATGAAGAGTCAGACTCGACTGTGCGACTGAACAACAACAAAAGCTGGAACAAATGTGCCTGGAACTGGCAGCACTTCTGAGAATGCTACCTTGGAGGATCTGGCCTTTCGCTTTCTGCCTAGTAACCAATTTTTTCCCCTCCAGGACCACACGACGACATTTCCCAGTGTCATGAGTGCCAACGTGCACCATGGCTGTGCTGACTCCTCCCCGGCACTATCAATCTAGGCAGACAGCGCACAGTGTCCACCACCTCCGCACCAGGCTGGCAAGTCACCATGCTGTCTCATATTTCTAATAACTGAATCGCCCACTACTGAAAGCCCACCCCCAACCCCAGAGGAGTATTCTTGATACAAGAGGATATTGGTCTGCTGCCCGAGGAAGGGGTCCCTTCGAAGGGATCACATCACTCCAGACTGACCAACCTCGAGACCCTCCCTCTCCACAACAGCAGAAGGGCTGTCAGCACAGGAGCAGGACGGTTCTAGCAAGCCCTCGAGGGTCTCTTCCCCAGACCTCTCTCCCTGCCTCAGCTTTTCTAGGTCAGCAACCCTAGCCTCAAGGGAAGGAACCTGCTCCCTGAGAGCCAGGAGCTGCATGCAGCGAGCACACCCACCATTTCCACGCAGTGGGTAGAGGTGGCATTTCTCTGCAAAACCCTGGATAGCCCCTGCCTCCCCTGCCGGCTTTCTGCCTTCACAACTTGTTAGTGGTTTAAAGGTATGCAGGGTCCTCCTCAGGCCTGGTCCCCTGGCTAAGGGCCGTGCCAAAGGCTCACGCCTCGGCCTAGGAGGACCCTTACGCTTTGGAGGCCCACAGCCCCCACCTCCCCACGGCAACAGCGGAAGGCGGGCAAGCAGACCTTGCTCAGCGAGCAACAGACCAAAGACCCAAACAGACCCATACAAAAGCTTTGCATCTGAGAGGAGGAGAGGGAAGGTGGGAAACCCGAGGGTAAATGGGGTGCCTTCGTATCATGAAGAAATGGGCTCCTCAGACCTCTGGGTCTTCACACCTGCACACAGATCATGCACAGCGGACCACTTCATTTGCCCCTGGCATTCACACTCCAGGGAGATCAGAGAGGCCTACATGGGCGGAACTGTCTCTGTGAGGGAGTTTAGGCTCACTGGCCCACCAAGTCACCACCGTGAACTCCAAACCCAGGCCTCCTTGGTTCAAATCCATCCCTTTCACCACGGCAGCACGCTATCTCGTCTCACAGACAACGGATTGGAATTAAATGTTAAACTGTCTCATGTAAAGTAATGGCAAGGGAATTCAACCAAGTCAGCTCTCACTCTGTGCTGTCTGTTAGGAAAATCTGTAGGCACCTGTGGGTGTCTCCTTGAATTTTCCAGTCTGGCAGTGAAGTGCTTAACAGGCTCTCAACCGGGATTAAACTTCATGCAAAAGTGACAAGTAATGCACACGGGGGGAGGGGTTGGAGGGAAGACTATTCCACACAGTACCCAGAAGCTGTGCAAGGGCCCCCCCTCCAGTGGAAAGCAAAGCATCCATGAGAACCCAGTGCCTCATACCACAGTTCCCCAAAACACCAGAAGAGCCACACGTCTAAATAGTAGAAATCAACCCTCGCAGCAGCACAAAATGTTAAGTAGGAAAAACTTCAAAAGGCAGTTATTTCATCAAACAAGCACAGCAAAGCTGAGACAGCAGAAAGACCCTGTGGTGGCCTTAGGTGCACCAATACATACCCGTCTGTCGATCTTATCACCCTGTGAAACATACATTGAAAATTACAAAGGGAACTTCACAGGCCTGTTACGTATTAGTATGGTGCAGGGTTATAGTCTGGAGGTTATTCTGGCGGAGCATCATCGCTATCCAGAACGCCTGTTTTTGCATGGAAACAGAAGATCTCACACAAGTCTATAGCACTGGCAAGCTTGCCGCTTACTCTAAGTAGATAAAGGTGGTTTAAGATTGTTATTGCTATTTTATTTTATTTCATCTTCTGCTCTTGAAGTGTTGTGTAGTGGATGGATTATTTTGTCAGTTTAATTGTTTTTAATGTGCTGTTAGCCGCTTTGGAGCCTACCTCATACTATGTGCCTATCTGGTCACACAGTTGTTTAATTGCTGCCAAACAGAAGCCAAAAAGCTTAGATAACACTCCTGTCGACAGGGACATGCACAAATCCCCTTTTGTACTTCAGTGAAAACATTTCCCAAATTTGTGCTGAAAGCACATCTGACTTTGCAAAATCACCAGAACGCCTTCTGCACAGTTAATTTCAAGGTTCCCAGACATAACGGGGAAAGCAGCAGAAGATGGCCAGGCTCTCTTGGGCCCTGCTCACGTGGCCACCAAGCAAGGGCTCTCTGAGCACACCTTCCTCGTCCTCCTCCTGGTCGAGAAGAGCAGAGCCTACTCCCACTCACCCCACCCTCATGCTGTCGCTTCTCGTTTTCCCCGAGCCTCTCCCACCGCACAGATATGTGGCTCACATGCTGTCATGTCTGCTGTGCCAGGCACTGGACTCCTAACTTCAACTATCCTAAGAGAGGATGTCCGTGAGGTGCTGACTGGAGACTGATATCGAAAAATTCACACCCAGTCCACCAACAGTACCGACACCTCTACACGACTGTCTGGGGCACTAAACGCCAACCCGTGCCAAGGCAGAGGGGATGCGCTGCAGCCTTCTTCCGGCCAGAGAGAACCTCGATTCCCGTAGCTGGGCAGGAACCTCATTGATGTGGAAAAGAAGAAGGATGGATGCTGTACCTGAGACAGAATGTTGGTGCACTGCTGGAGCAAGGACACGGGCGGGTTCCCAAGACTAGTTGCCAGCTGCACCCGGAGCAGCTGTTCTTTCAGGGGGGCGTTTTCTTGCAGAGCATGGGCCAGCGCCACAGCCGCACACCAGTTGGAAAAAGAGTCTGTGGAGAAGAGCCCTCCGCACAACAGCTGACCAGCTGAGACTGAATTTCCAGTTGCTGTAACAGGATGCACAACATTTAGCGGCACCGAGACACTTCAAATGCCTTTGCCAAAACCTTTCAGCAGTGCCAGGAAGTGTTATTTAACATACCTCTTGCAGATCCACACGCATTACAAAGTTGATGTTAAATGCAAGATTTGCCTTCACTTACTGTGACGCTTCCTTTCTCGGTGGTCCAGGAGTGGGGCAGTCCTTGAATGCCTTGCTCCTGGGACTTAGCTCCTCCTCTCTGAAGGCAGGGCTGGCACACTCTTTTTTTTTTTACTCTTTCATCCCAGAGGAGGGGTTCTTGTCCCCTGGCTGGCTCACCAAGCCGTCACCCCCCTTCAAACCTGTACATAACTGAAAACACACTTTCCCCCCAACTGGGTACTAAGTACCAGAATTAACTTAGGGTCTTCGAACCAAACCCTCCAAAACAAAGGACTCTAACCAAAAAAAGGGAAGAGCCCCAGGAAACTTACTCCTTTTTTCTTTCCCCAATGAACATTCAAAACAGGACAACAGAATCCCTATGTGTGGATTGCACTCACAGGCACCAGACGTTGCACCCTCAAACTGGGTGGGTAGGACTGCCCCACTCCTGGACCACCGAGAAAGGAAGCTTCATGATAAGTGAAGACAAGCCTTCCATTTTCCAGTGGTCCTGGGAGTGGGGCAGTCCTTGAACTCCTTACTCTTGGGACATAAAAAAGCAGTGCACCCCAGGGTGGGTCCGTTGGCTTCCAGGCCTAGAGGGTATGCTGCAAGACCCTTCTACCAGATGCTGCCTCAGCTGAAGCCATTCTAACAATCCAGTGTTGCCTAGTAAAGGAGTGGCTGCCCTACAGTCTCCAAGGTAGAGGGCTCTCTATACGCTGCTGAGGTGGCCGCCCCCCTTAAAGGAGGGAGCAGTGATGTTTTGGGGCAGAAGAGCCAAGCCCTTAGACTTGTAAGCCATGACGATACATCCCCTGATCCATCTACTCAGAGTGGAAGTAGAAATTCCCTTTCCTAAAGATGATGTTCTAAAGGAAACAAACAAGACATCAGTTTTTCTCCAGCTTTTTGTTCTGTCTAGATAAAAGCTTAAAGCTCTGTGTGTGTACATCGAGGCAATGCCACTCCCTCTCCTTCTGATGTCTGGGATTAGGGCAGAAAGATGGAAGCACTATGTCTTCCAACCTATGGAAGGCTGAGTTCACTTTAGGGATAGAGGCTGAGTCTGGGTGAAGCATTACCCTATAATTATGGAAAATACACAGTTCTCTATCTATTGATAGACCTCGTAATTCTTAGACCCTTCTAGCTGAGGTGATTCCCACTAGAAAAACAGTCTTAAGGGTTAATTCTTTTAGTGGACAGGAGGCCATCAGTTCGAATGGTTCTTTACAAACACTGTATTAAGGTTCCACGTAGGAACCAATGAGTTTGTAGTGTACTTATCAGGGTTGTTCCCCTCAAAAACCATTTAATGTGAGGGTGTTGAACCAAAGATTGACCCTCCTTAGCCACCTTGATTGCCGAGATGGCTGCCACTTGCTGTTTCAGTGTGCTTGTGCTAAGACCCTTTTCCAAACCAGAAAAGACAGGATCTCACTAACAGAGGCCTTCAATGGGTTAGATCCCCGTTCCTACACCAGGAGTGGAAAACCTACCATGTCCTATTGTAAACCCTGTTTGTGGACCCCTTCCTGGAAGCTAACATGGTTTTAACTACCCCCTGCAGGTAACCCAAGTCCATCACTTGCTGCCTTTCAATTTCTAAGCTGAGTCTTCGCAAGTCTGGGCGAGAATGACCTGCTGCCCCTTGTGATAATAGATCTTTCCTCAGTGGCAGACACCATGGATCCATTATTGACAACCTCTTCAGATCCTGAAACCATGCCCTCCTTGGCCAGAAGGGGGCGCCTAGTATCAGCTCCGCTTTTTGATCTATCAGTAACCGCAACATTTTCTGTATGAGTTGAATTGGTGGAAATGCATACAGGAGAGTTTTTGGCCAGTTGCTTTCTCACTTGGCAGTTCTGCTCTGTAGTGAAGAGATTCACTTCTGCAGTGCCAAACCTTTGGATGAAAAACTTCCTTGAACAGCATCGATTCTGACTGGTCCACCCTCTGCCAACCCAGCCAGTCTGCCAGGGTGTTGTCCCAACCAGTCACATGGACCGTTTTCAGAAACTGTGGGTGTGTTTCTGCCCATTGTATCAATTGTGTCACTTCCTTGTGTAGTGTCTTGAAACGAGTTCCCTCTTGCTTGTTGATATAGGCCTTGGCTGTCATATTGTCCATTTGAACTAATACATAGTGGCCTGATAATTGACCTATGAAGTGAATCAGTGCCAACTTTATGGCCCTGAGCTCCAGAAAGTTTATGCTCCTGGTTGTCTCTCCCAGCGACCAGGTTCCTTGTGTCATTCTCCCCTGAGTACGTGCTCCCCATTCGAAGAGCCTCACATCCATCATCACCACCACTCTCTTGGGATCCCTGAGAAGCATACCCTTGAGGAAGCTACCACTTTAGCTCCTGCCGCACTAATCTTGGTAAGTGCACAATCCGGACTTTCTTGTGCACTATCACCTCCTGATACAGAAGAAGAAATCTTTGTAGTGGACGTGTATGGAATCTGAACCATTGCAGTATGTCCTGGCAAGACACTGACATACCTAGGAGCTGGACTAGGGTCATGACTTCCACCACTGACCCTTCCAGAACCTGTCTCATCAGCTGTTGAATGTTCTGCTGTCTCTCTTGGGACAGGAACACTCCGTCCCTTTTTGTTTCTATTCGTACTCCCAAGTGTATGATTGTTTGAGTCAGGCACAGGGTACTCTTTTCCATGTTTACCACAAATCCATGGTCCATGAGTACCGTCATTGTAAGATCTAAATCTTGTAGTGTCTGATGATAGGACGATGCCTTGACCAAAACGTTGTCCAGTTAAGGAAATAATGATACTCTCTGCATCCTCAGGAATGCTACCAATGCCACCAGGATCTTGGTAAACACTCCTGGGAACAACTTCAGGCCAAACGGCAATGCCCAATATTGAAAATGCTTCCCGTGATATACAAAGTGGAGAAACTTGCAGTGGGATTCCCGTACTGGGATGTGTAAATTAGCCTTGGACAGATCGATGGAAGCCATGAAGTCCCTCCATTGGATGGATGACAGAATGGATTTTAGGGTTTCCATCTTGAACTTCCTGGTTTTGATGCGCTTGTTTAGCCACTTCAAGTCCAGTATGGTTCTGACGTCCCTGTTCTTTTTGGGCACAATGAAGAAGACTGAGTAGACTCCTTGATATGTCTCCGAGTCTGGAACCAACTCTATGGCTCCTATTTCAATCAGGTGTTGAATGGCCATCTTCAGTAGTCTGTGCTTTTCTGGAAAGCAATTTTTTGGTATTTCCAGAAATCGGCTGGGTGGAAAGGTCTTGAATCCCAAAGAGTAACCGTTGGTCACTGTCTCCAGTACCCATTTGTCTGTGACTGTCTGGTGCCATTGGTGCGCAAACTCCTGAAGATGGCCTCCAACACCTTTTTGTCCTGATTCCTTGCCATAATCATGATGAAACTCTCTTCTTTGGTCCCTTTGTATTTTGGCCGGATTTGCCTGCAAAGAAAGGTCTAGCTTCTCTGGATTTGGACTGCCATTTACCTTTGAAAAATCTACTATAGTTTGGTCTGGATTCATGCCTGGAATCTCAAAAGGACTGAAAACGCTTCCTGGTTTTCCCGTCTCTCTTCTTTATTGGAAGGACTTTCTTTTTGTCCTTATCCTAAATGAGGTATCGCTCCAGACCTTTCCCAAATAGGTTAATTCCTTCGAATGGTACTAATGTCACCTTTGCCTGTGCTGATGAGTCAGCATCCCAGTTTCTCAGCCACATATTCTGCCTGGCTGAGGCAGAACACTGCATGCCACTGCCCTAGCTGCTAGTTGAAGGGTGTCTAGAGATGCATCTGCAGCCAAGGCTGTGGCTAGTGCTATTTTCTTCAGTTCATTTTTTAGTTCCTTGGGAATACCGCTGTCTGGTGCGGCCAGATCTGATGACCAAGTATAGACTGCTTTAGCAAATAGGGAACCTGTGGCTGAGGCATGAAGGCAGTTAGCTGACGCTTCAAAGTCTCTGCACAGGGCCTGTTTGATACAGGGCTTATCGCAGTTGTCTTTTGGTAGTCCATCCGCTTCCATGGGTATGGCTAAGGTGGACACTAGGCTGTTGATTCGGTCATCCACCACTGGGAGTTTGATCCTCTTTGTTGCTTCTGAAATTAGGGAGTAAAACTTTGCAAACACAGGGTTACCCGCCTTTGGGTTAGCTGGATGTTTCCATTCTGCCTTCATAAGAGTATAGAAGGCTGCTGGGAGGGATACCCCCCTTCGTCTGAGGAATGGATTTATCAGACCCCAGTGGAAAACCTTAGTCATTTCCCTCCTTTTCCTTTGGAGTATAAGAAAGCTCCAGTGTTCTCAGAACTTTTGGCAGCAACCTGTTGTATAGTTCTTGGGGGAAAGGCCTTGTTTGGACAATGAGGACTACCTCCTCCTCTTATAGCTCGCCTTCTTCCTTAGCTGAGGTAGAGTCTGTGGAGTCTGCGTCACCCTCTTGTCCACTAACCTATGACCTCTAAAAAGCTTGGGATCTTTCCTGCTCTTTTTGTATCTGGGCGGAGGATCAAGAGTACGATGGCTTTTCTCCCTTCTGGATCCTGTTTGTCTGCTCTGGGCAGAGGCAGTTTTATGCCATAATTCCCTAAACTCTTTCCTCATTTCAGCCTTAAGCAATAAAAGAAGGTTGGATTGTGCCTCCTCTCCTGAGAGATCCACTCCCTGAGTTTCGTTCTGGGAAGTTTGAGTGGAATTTGAGGATGGTGAATTAGACAAATCAAACACACAAATCACACTATCCAAGGCAAAGGGGCTGGAGAGGCCTGCTTTTGCCGCCATTTTGTCCCACCCTGAAAGTGAAAGTGGTTCCAGATCACTAGATGCACCAAAATGGCTGCCTTTCCCACCTTTTTTACTCTATGCCCAGGTCCAATGAGGGAAGTAGAGAGGGGGCTTGTTATTCCCTGGTTTATCACAGGAACCCTGGACTTTGTCTGGTGGTCTCCCATCCAAACACTAACCCGACAACTTTAAGCCATCCTGGGCTGCCCATGTCAGGGTTGCGGCCAACTGCAGGGGTTGTGGCCTTCGCACGGCTCCCCAGTGTCCCGTGGAGCAGGAGGGGACAAGCCTCGTGCTGCCTCCTGCCCAGACCAGCACTGCCCAGCTCACCCCCTGTGGCGGCAGGGCCTAACGGGATTCCGATGAAGGGGACTGCTTGCCTGTGTGTCTCTGTGTGCCTCTGCCCGGCGTTCTCCTGTGGGCGCAGCACCTGGCTCCTCAGCCATCTGGGGCTGCACCGGGATCACTGCACCTCCCGCAGGCTAGTTGCTGACTCTACCACCCCCTTCAATCTCTCTAGCAATGGTGGAGGGAGTGCACAAGTGGCCCAAGGACCGCGCACCTCTGTGGGAGTCAGCTCTACTACCGTGGCTATCTGGGGTTCTCCCAGAGCCACTGGTACCTACGGAGGCTTTCCACTGCAGCTCTGAGGAGGGCTTGGGGTGGTAGTTACCTTCCCCTCTTTGATCCTGCCTCCGGCTTAGCTGTCTCTGGCCTTCTTTCTTCTCAATGCCTTCTCCTGGGATCTTCGTGCTCCATAGAGCACAGCCAATAACGTCCTGCCAGTGAGACTGGGAAGCCAGGGGACAAGTCCCTCCCCACCTGGGATCAAAGAGCCTGCTGGTTCTGCCTTTGGAGAGAAGGAGCTAAGTCCCAGAAGTAAGGCGTTCAAGGACTGCCCCACTCCCAGGGCCACCGGAGAAACAGATTTCCTACCTTACTGTGACTATGTAAAACACACACACTTGTTTATTACAAAACCTGATGTCCAACTTCCTATTTTCCTGAATTAAGAACCTAATAGGTTAAATACATACAAACAGGAGGGCCCAATCTTAAAATCAATAGATATAGAGCATTAACATACAGATAGTACAGGTTATAAAAAATACAAATGATTTAAAAACAGTTATAGGCCCAAATGTAGCCTCAATAAGAATTAAAACCATACAGTATTCATAAACAGGACCTTATGTGACCCACCGTGTTTCAGTCAACTGGCCTTCTTCAGTGTTTAAGCACAAACAATAAAGATAGGCTCAGTGTTGCAATAACAAAACAAAGTATTAATGAATATGGGACCATGTGAAAATTACATTATAATAATTATCAGTGTTCCAAGACTAAGGTGTACAACAGAGGCCTCCTTCGGTGTCACCTTGTGTCCTAAATCAGGAGCATGTCCCTAAGATGGTACCGCAACAATACACCTTCCTATTTTGGTCCTAAAGATGCAATTTCAAATGCCATCTAGAGCTTGTGTATCATAAAAGTGTGTTCACAGGAAAAATTTTAAAACCAGTTTGCAGCTCCAAGCATCCAAATATTTGGGTGAACCTCAGAGCAGAGGTCATTTCTCCAGAGGGAAAATGTTGTGATTCTTATGGCTGCGCATGCTTAGCCCCACTACTAGCAATATACTGATATTGCTCATCCACCACAAATTGGGGGGCGGGGGCGGGGCGGGACAGACTGCTGATGACAACATCCTTATTCAAAAACCCTGATTTTTTAAAAGGGACGTCTATTAAAAAATAAACAGACATGGCAATGGGAAAAATTCAGAGGGATGGAAGATGGGCAGAAGCCCCGTGCTCAGTGCTGTCCTGATGCTAGCAGATCAACTCACAAGAGAAAGAGGAATAAGTCGCCTGTGTGAAATAGCCTGCTGTGGACTGTGAAAAATAAGCCGTGCCGTGCCGTGCCGTGGGGGTGGATCCATCCGTCCCCCAAGGAGCCTTCCTCCAGCTACGGAAGAACCACTCAAGTTGGAGGGTGGCTTCTAAAGCTGGGTGAAGGCTTCAAACTTTACTCAATGGAGTGGCCGTTTGTGCAGCGGTCAGAGTGTTGGAGACCCCAATTCAAATCTCCCTGTACTTTTTAACTTTACTTACTGGGTGACCTTGGGCAAGTCACTTTCTCTCTCTAACCTACCTCACAGGGCGTAAAGGGAAAAAACGTCCCTCATCTCATCAGAAAACCTCAATAATTCTCAAGCAAAATTAATCTTCAACTCACGTTTAAGTACAGCAAAAACTGAATATTCTACTTGGAGCCAAACTGTTGTGCCCAGTAATCACATCAGGCACTTTGCTCCTGTCACACTTCTTGCTGTGTGAAAATGGCTGTCTTGAGATGCTCGAGGCATACGACAACCTTCCCTTTTGACACACAGAGTCTCAACAGTGATGTCTGCCTGGGTGTCCATACAAGCCAAATCTGACTCCTGAGGGTCACCATGGTCCCACCAACAAGCCACAGAGACACTGAATTTTCTGTACCGTCAATGGTTGAAGGTAGAAGCGTGGACACAATTTCTCCTTGCCCCTTCTGGTTCTTGTACAGGAAACACTGAAAACAGTATAGCACAGCACAGCGCAACACAAAGGGTTGCCTTTCATTGACCATGGACATCAGCAACACAACAATTGCAGGCCTGGCAGAAGAGAAAGAAAGACAATGAACTGGTTTTAAAAAAGACAAATGCTCCGTTTACAGAACTGAGGATAAGTATTAATGGCAAAGTCCCACCCCAATCCACCCCGAGTAGAATTAAGGCCTCCCCGACACTCTGTGCCCGGCACGCCTACTTGGGTCGCCTGGGAGGCCCAGCGTCCGGTGCCCCAGCACCTCAGGCCAGAGGGACAGCGACCTGAGACAGGGCCTTCTCAGTCATGGTACCAAAACTTGGCAACTCCCTCCCAGGGAGATTCATAAGTCTCTGTCCACTGTGTCTGCCACCAGTGGGTGGGGAATTTTTGTTTGGCACACACCCAGTGGAATTATCGCTGGCCTTACTGCACTTCCACATGCGTTTATATGAATTGTACTGGATTGTTTCTTTCATATGTACTTTATTTTAAATACTGTTTTTTATTTTCAGCCCTGAGGGCCCTGTCTGGGTGGAAAGGCACCACAGAAATGTTTAAAATAAACGAATAAATAATTGGCCCACCCACCACCTCCCCGGGTCGCCAAGAGTGGGCAGCCAGTGACAGGAACACGTCTGGTCTCAGAGGTCTGCTGTGAAGTGCACAGTCCTTCCCCAGGACAGCTGCAACTTCACACATTCCCTGGCAGCCCCAAACAAGGAGCGCAAGACAGCCTGTTCAGCATCACGCCAGCAAGGGCGGTGTGGCCGGGGGGATACCTACTGAAGGGGCCCACGGAACACGGAGGTTCTCAGCTGAGGACAGGGGTCCGCAATCCACAGCTCTCCTCTTGCCCTCTTTGCTGCCTGCATCTGCCCACCTCCATCAGATGCCTGGTGCCCCTTGCCTCCGGGAGAGCAAAGAGCCGGGGGGAGGGGGGTACTTGAGTGATCCCCCCTCTTTGCACACCGGCAGCTGCACGGTTTCCTGACCAGCTCCTCTCTGCTTTACAGATCTGACTAAAGAACACCTTCCTGCACCCTGAATACCAAATCCAGACACAGCCCAGCCTTAAAGATGGCAAGAGCAAATAGTGGGATACATAGACCCACAGACTGAGTGTGAGGCGGTGTTAGAGGCTGCTGGAAGCTGAGACAAGCTACCTCCATGAAGATGCATTAATGGGTTCTGTGTCCTGACCAGGACAGCCCGATCCCATCAGATCTTGGAAGCTAAGCAGGGTCAGCCTTGGCTAGTATTTGGAGGGGCGACCTCCAAGGAACACCAGGGTCATGACGCAGAGGCAGGCAAGGGCAAACCACCTCTGAAACGTCTCCTACCTTAAAAACAAGTCTAGCTCACCACCTAGCGGTGCATAATGCTAAAAGAGCTAGAACTCCTGGATGCCAGACAATCTTAGGATCTCCTGGCTATTCTACACACAATGCCATACGGTAATTATTAGCAGTTCTATTTTATTCCTATTCAGTTTCTCACATACCATGATTACTGAGCAGGCAACAGTGCATAATGCTTAGAGACTCTTACTAAGAACTGGGAGTCCAGGGTTCAGATCCCCACACTGCCACTGAAACTTGCTAGGTGAGCCTTGCTTTCACCATCTAACCTACCTCACAGGGTAGTGAGGATAAAGGTGGGGAAGGGAGCTGATACTGCAAGCAGCTTTGGGTCTGGCACTGGAGAAAGAAGTGGGGAATAAAGGAAGTACTAAATGGCATCAAGTACTGTACCTTGGTGGATTTGAAGGGGCATTTACTGAAGCAAAGTAGTCTTGGTTCATTTGACACCCACGGATGACCTCCGACACAGTGTTAATGGTCTAGTCAGTAAAACAAAAATGTCAGAGCGGAAGCATCAGAGCTCAGATCTGTATGGTCAGTTTCATGCCTGTAGGTTTATGAAGCTTTACACAGAAACAGAGGAGAGCGCTTAATGCAGATCTCCTTTTCTGCACAAATTTAGTTCAGGGCAGACAGCAAAGTGGCCAAGAGCAAAGGGATGCAGGCGTGGCTAAGAACAAAATGAATTCTATGATGTCCAGGAGGGAGAGGCCAGACATGGACTGATCCAGAATTCAGCACGCGGTCAACTGCGTGGGCCCAGCACAACAGGCACAGTCCTGTTCTTCAGATATGCTCGTTATCGTATGTGAGCCACTACAGATGGACCTCCCCTGGCTGGCCTTAAGCAATGTAAGCTGCTTTGGGTTTCCACTGGGGAGGAAAGAAGGGTATGCATTAAGTAAATAACATCACAACCCTCAGAACTCTTTCCTGGGCATAAGTTCCACTGAATAGACCATGTTGGAATTTTGAGTAGACTTGCTTAGGATTAGTCTCCAAGTCAGTAAATTTTAATCAAATCAATTCACATACTCATCTGCAAATCAAGTATCCAGTTATCAAGGGATGGGGAATGTGATGTACATGCCTACACGAACTGATGCCATGAGGATAACTTGGCAACAAGGAAGGAAACACTGGAAGCAAACGGAATTCTGATTGACTTCACAGTGTGCAGCAAAGTTAAGATGAGGTCCGTTCATGAAACAGACCAATCTGAACAACTGTCCTATCTGTTCAGATGCTGAAAATCGCCCCTCATTAAAACAGGGGTCCCAACCTTTTGGAACCTATGGGTACCTTTGAAATCCTGTGGGTGCAACCCCAAAATGGCTGCCATGGGAGGTGGAGCCAACCACAAAGTGGCCACTGCAGAAGGCAGAGCCACGCATGAGGAAGCCCAAGAGCAGGGAATAAGAGCGGTAGTTTTGAAAAATACAATGGCAAAGAGGAGGGTGAGAGAGAGCAAACCAACACTGTTGGCACCTGCCACCAAAACAACATGACTTTAATCTGCACCGCCAATCAGAAGCCCTGGAACAGCCCCACCCACATTCTAAAAATGATTGACAGGCACCAGAAAAGGTACTGGTGGATGCCATGGATATCATCACGGGGACTCTTCAGTACATAGTAACTTAAATTATTTTAAAAAGTGAATTGGAACAGGTAATTGTATGTTTCAAAACAGTTAAAAGACATGTCTGCAATTAAGTAAAATTGAGGTCCAGAAGCGCTTCCCTGTACCTGGGCACTCTGCATCTCTTCAGCTGCATTCCTTCCCTGATACAGCATTGTTGCAGCAATTCTTGTGTCAGTTTAACAGGTGCTATGGCCTAGCACAGAAAAATACTTCTCTCTGGTACTCTACCTCAGTAAGAATATCCGCAGGAACACCAGTGGCCATCAGAATTGTACAAAGCTGCTGAAGCAACCCACAGTGAAACATGGCTTTTTGGCAACTGCTGGCAGCACCAGGGGGATTTGTGGGGGACACCAACACCCGGACCAGCTAGAGGGAGAAGGGACGGAGAAGAGTATCACACAGGGATGCTGAAAAGGCACCCACATGAACTTCTAAAACAAAACGCTGCAAAGTTCAAGGCACGCATTCATGTGGCTGCAGGGCTCACCTGTAGCATCAGATGAAGATTGGTTACTTTCTGTGCTGACCACCCAGCATTGTCATCACCAACTTCAAACCATGGCTTCATACGCTGGATATAGGAACCTTCCTTGAAGAAATTTTGGTTTGAGTTGTTGTTCTTCAACAGATTTTGTAACAGAAGAAGACAATCCTCCACAACTATGCCTGAAAGGGAAAAAAAGTTCATGAGTGCAACCATGCACAGAGATTCCATCTGCATAAGACATCATCTTCTAAGGGCAAAGTAAGGATTAAAGGCTCAGAAAAAAATGAGGAACTAGATGCCAAATTGCATTAAAGTCTACCTGAGAGTAACTCATTTAACGGAAGGTTTCTTGGAGGACATCACTTGATGAGCACAGAATGTCTTAAGAAAATCCTCTATCTTGAAAGTTGAGTTGATTCTATATCTTTTACCTTTGTAGGTGAAGAGTACGCTGGGAATAGCCATCTATAAGGAATCTCATTACTTCTCAATATGGCTGTAAGCGCGATATAATCTTTCCTTTTTTCTCTGAGTCTCCATGGAATTTCTTTTAAGATGTTTATTTCTGCATCTTCTATATGTAAAGATATTTCATTTGTTGCTTTAAGTATTTCATCTCTTGTGGTTCTCTTATGAAATCTCACATGCACTTCTCTGGGAAGTTGGTTTCTTCTCGCATAAGCTTTCATTCTAAATGCAGTATCTATCTCATCCTCTATTTCATCTGTTTTCATGTACTTTGCCAAAATATACATCATTATCTTTGTGTCTTCAGTTCAAGTTTCATAAGATCTTGTTCCATAAAGGCCTGTTTAGTGTCTGTTGCTTGGAATTTAAGATCAGTCTCCTCTGCTTTATCTTCCAATTTTGAAGCTGTTTTATTCAAGTCAGCAATCTTCTGGTTCTCTAGGAGTTATTTCTGGAGACCCTCCATCTTGTTTAAAAGCTGCTGTGACATATCATTCGTTGTATATTTAATGGGGTCTACAGCTTCTTTGGCCTGGCGTGATCTGGTCCATGGGGTCGCGAAGAGTCGGACTCGACTGTGCGACTGAACAACAACAGCTTCTTTAATTGCAGCTTTTACAGTGGTTGAAACTGTTTCCTGAATCAGTAATTTGAGGACTTTAATAGTAGCCTGTGATAAACTAGAGACTACTGATTTTGTTAGACCTGGTGAACTGGAACCCTGTAATTTAGGAGGCCACTTTGAGCCTGCCATTATATAACAGAGGAATATATTAAAACAAGAGATTCTCAGCAAAGTTTTTCAAAGCCTCTACGTCACCTCTATTATTTATTCAACAAGACTTATTACAGACATATTAAAGATAGCATATTTGAAAACCACAGAAGACCAACAAACTTATCAGTTGTGTACAAAATAGGCAGAACAAAATGTACAAAATGTAACCTTATAATTTCAAAAAATAGAATCAGTGTGTGTTGTGGGAATAGAGTTTTTGGCAAGCTCCCCTGACTTCATATATGGGGGGAAGGAAAAACGAGCAAAAGAAAAAAGAAAAAGAAAAAAGCCCCAGTTTTTGTAATCCATATATTGGAGTATACAGAGTTGTAATTATAGTCTTCTTGTCATGTGAGTTAGTCTCTGTTATTTATTTTAAATCCAAAAGGTTTTTTAGATCCCAGAGAGAAGGTATAATTTAAAATTTAAAAGGAAATAGAAAGTCCATAGCAGGCCAATTAATTCCCGGTATTTCCCCCAAAAAATATTGTATTCCACTTTATGTTATTGAAGAGAAAAAAAAAATTAAAGACAGACCAAAACACAACTTTAGCATCAAGGAAAAGTTACTTCTTTAATCTTTAGTCTTTTGCCAGCCGCTTAAGAAAAGGAGGTGTGTGTGGGGGGGTAAACTTCCCCTCCTCCGAGTTTTATTCTATGTCTCTTTAAATGTTAAAGGGCTTGAGTGCCAAAAGGATTTTCTGGGTAGTTGCTTAGGAGCGTTACTCATGGTGAACTTCTTGATATGGTATTTGGTAGAGTTATAAGGATCCCTCTGGTCAGGTAGCTACAGCTAGGCGCTCATGGCTGCCATGAACGCACTGATCCACTTCTTGCTAAGGACAATCCGGGGCTTCAACCCACTTGCTGCCGCTTGCGGGAAGCCCGGATCAAGTCCCTTGCTCTGCACCCTCCTCTGAGGGGTGCAGTGGAGTTCGGGATCCCCTGAATCTCCTCTAAAGAAGTGAAAAAGCTGGTGGTGCCCCGGAGCAAGCCCGGGTGCCTTCTACAACCCGGAAGTCTTGAAGAGCACAGAATGGTTTTTTTTTTTGGGGGGGGGGGGTTTACTGCCTAGGCCTTCTGCCTGTGGGGACCTAGGCTCTCTGTTTTTGGTTCTTGTCCTCTGTGGTTCTGTTGCCTTTAATTTCCTTTTATTGTGTTTTCTGGACCAGTTGTTGTTTTTTTAGGGGGATGTTACTGACTAGGCCTTCTGCCTGGGCCCTGCTGCTTGTTCTTTGTGGCTCTGCTGCCTTTAAGTTCCTTTTATTGCATTTTCTGGGCTAGTTGGTTGTTGTTTTTTAGGGGGGGTGTTACTGATTAGGCCTTCTGCCTGCGCCTAGGCTCTGTCTGTTGCCTTTTAGCAGGATGTAAGTTGTTATTTCTCCAGGGGTGCCCATGGCTGCTGGTCAGCATGGCTGCCCCATCACCTCTGATGTCTGGAAACACTTCGAGGTGACAGAGAATCCCTGCTTTGCACAGTGCCAGCTGTATAGGGCCCAGGTAAGTCAAGGGAAGGACATCGGAAACCTCTCGACCTCCAGGCTGCGGAACCATCTGAAGAAGCACCACCAGGCGGTGCTTCTTCAGGGGGAGCGACAGGCTGCTGCTGGGGTGCCCAATCGGCCACTGCCAGCCAGCCAGGAGGTGAGTCGTCCTGCGACCACCTCCAGCACTCTCCCTGAGCGTTCCGCGGTAGGGACGGGGCAGGCACACCAAGCATCTCTGACAGAGATGGTTGGTGACGTCGGCACTAGACTGCTTTGGGGGGAAGCAGCAGGCTAGCAAGAGGGTCACTCACCTCATTGCTGAGATGCTTGCTCTAGACAGGCACGTCTTCTCCACAGTTGAAGGTGCTGGTTTCTGCAGGCTGCTCCAGGGTGCCTATCCCGGGTACACGCCCCCTGCTCGCACGGAGCAGGACCGTGATGCCCTCATTGTACAGGGATGCCAGGGACTGTGTGAAGGCACAGTTGTCCTGCGTTCGTGGGAGATACGTGCACTTCACACCTGACATCTGGACCTCCTGTCAGGCGCATGATTCGTACCTTTCGTTGACAGCGCACTGGTGGCAACCAAGCAACGTTTTGTGTGGGGGAGGGGGAACTAGTGTCAGGCAGGGTCAGGGCTGCCGGGCCGGCTCCATGTCGAGAAACTCGGCGAGTCGCACACGGCAGACAACAGCTTGGCCACCGTCAAGAGACAGTTAGCGGGGTGGGTAGGTAGGGACTTCACTATGGGCTTCATGGTGACCGGTGGTGGCACAAACATTAGGGCAGTGGCAAAGTGACTGGGCCTGGTGCGAATTTCCTGTGCGGCCCACTTTCTCCACCTCATGGTCAAGGAGGGTTTGGGGTTGGGTTCTGCGGGGAATAAAGGGGCTGCAGTGGCTCAAGTGGTTAAGATGTTGAACTGCAGACCTCAGTCCTGTCCAAACATGGTTATGCAGCCGGCAGGATTCACCATCAGGCGTTCTACTCCCTTCTGTCTGGAGGACAGGACCTCCCTTCCAGGACTACACACCACTCATTAACCGGATGGTTGACCAGCACTCACCAGGACCCCTGGGAAACCCACCTCTGAAACGGCCTAGAGGCTCACATTTGCCACTCAGCTCTTTAAGAACAGAGAACAGTTTCCAGGGAAATACCTCCATCACTGTTGCCCTCCTCGGTTATGATGTCCAGCAATCTCTCAAAGGCATTTTCAAAAGCAACTATTTTCTGGATAGCTGCATTACTTTTTGTCAACTGTTGAAGTAACAAGACTCCCTGTGGGGGGAAAAAACCCAGAGATGACCAACAAAGCTTCCATACAAGATACTTTCTTTCAATGTTACTTGTGTGTGGAAGTGGGCATCACTCATTTATATCAGGTAAGCCCAAGGGCATACATTTTGTTACAGACCCTTTCTGAAGCCCTTTGAAGAAAGTAATAAAAACGTTCCCTTTTATTAACAGTATTTTGGAAGAAGAGGAGTTGGAGGATACGGCTCCTACCTCCAAGGCCAAAATGTTCATTTAAAAACATTTTCACTATAATGTTGTCATTTCCCCCCACTTTAGCTAAGGTACATTAAAAGCAAACACTTTCCAATTTTAAGTGTCACTATACCTCTCTCCAGCCTAGGTGATGCAAAGTACCAGCCCAGCCCAATAATCATCTCAGACACTGGCTCATAATGCCCTTGGATTAGCCTGATACAACCCATTCACTTCCGCCAGAAACCAAGGCATGTCAATAAAGATTACTTTCTCGTAAATGTTGTTTCCAAGTGGTCACCTGTGTAGTCACACATGTAGGAACGTGAGCCTGTGCAAAGCTAAGCCAAAGAGGTATTTCTGGTGCTGGCTTCAGCCAGCTCAGGACTACAGGCGGCTGGCCACCTGCCTGTCCAAAGTGAGCTGTGCTTTCACACTCGGTTCTTCACCAGAGGGACACCTTCACGGGGCATCTTCCAGCTGGGCATCTCAGTGACTCTTGGGCTTTCTTCTGACTTTTGGACTGGCATTTCGCTCCTACCAGGGCATCGTTCTAGGTGGTCTTCCGTGAAGGAAGATCAGATGGGTCTGGTTTCTTAGGCTTTGGATAATGCTTCTAGCTGTAAATGTTTCTAAATAATTCTCTGCGCAGGTGGTTCTTCTTCTTTTTGTATTTTTCATATGTGCATGTACGTGTGTGTGTGTGTGCGCGCACCTGGAAGTCATGGCGACCTCTGGTGACTGACTCCTCCTGGGGCCCTGGAGAACATTCAGAGGTGGCTGAATAAATCCTGCCCCTGCCTCCTGCCATTCCAAGAAGACCCCCGTCCAAGTACTTGCCAGAGTTGACCCTGCTTAGCTTCCAAGATCAGACGGGTGGGGCATGGAGGATTTAAAGTTATATCTGTTTTTACCCCTTTTGTTTTTATTTTTGGCAGTCTCATTTAATTTTAATAAAAAGCAATATTGCATATTTTCCAATAAAAACATGTGTAATACTTGTCCATGTCTTGTGGTTCTCAAACATCTGATGTTTATTTTATGTGGCTCTTCTGTTAAGCAAGTTTGGCCACGCCTGGGTTAGCACTTCTCTTTTTTATTTACTTTAAATATTACACTCTCTTGCTCCGGGACAGGCAACCTGGACATTGCTGAGTGAAACTAACAAAATGGTGGGAAAACGCTTGTAAATGTCACATTTTTAGCTTTAAAAACCTCAAAAAAGTCTAATTTACCTTTAAAAACCCCCACTGTAATCCAAAATCTTATAGGATAAGAACTAAGGCTATTAATGTCAGTGGAACAGCTTTTTGCTTTCTTTCTTCAAAGTGCAGCACATTCATCCAATTAAACCACAATGACAACAAGTAGTAATAAGCAGCAGGCAATTTTTGCTCCAAACCTCTGATACCTGACAAAAAGGTTGTGTGGAGAAATCCCCCCCTCCACTCTGAGTTTTTAACGTGTTCCTGTTTCTTTTCTCTCTTCTCTCTGGAAGGCCAGGAAGCGAGGTCAGTTACCAGCCATGGTAACTGCAAATGGCTTGACTTGCAAAAGAACTGAGGGATCTGGTGTTAGGAATCTCCAGGTGACTCCTGGAGATTTCCCAGAATGCCTGCAAGGAGGGCTCCCAGGATGCACCTTGAGTGGCCCAGGGTCCACTTGGGTGTCCTGGGCGGAACAGGTCAAAGTGGGTGGAGAGTGTGATGTGGAATGGGTGGAGTCAGGAGGGAGGGGCTCTTTTTGTCTCGATTCTGGTCCTTGGAGGACAGACTGCTGAGCTCTGGTCAGCGAGCTGGCGGCTATCTTGAACATGCTGCTAGGCCTGACTGTCTGGCTGGCTGCAGGATGCTGGTGGTAATGAGATATCCTTAGAACCTTCTAAGCTTGAAAGTGCCTATTATACTTCAACATCTAGCTAGCGTACGTTTTAGAAACAAGGACAGGGGATGCAATTATGACCAGCTTTCATTTATCCTTCTGGTTGCAGATCTGGTGCTGTGCTAAAAGTATGCTTGTAACCCTTTTCTCTTTTTAATAAATATTTTACTTTTTGAAGCTGGTAGGGTTCTCTGGACCACATTCCCCCAACCACCCTAGACCACGCTAGTGTAATAGGGCAGCCCTGGAAACAGGGATGGCAAGCAGTCAAGGCACCCATTTCCCATCCTCCAGGGAGCCCCCAAAGCAGGAATTTGGTCCCTGTGGTAAGCAGGAGCTGGGTAGCAGGAGACCAGAGGCAGGGCCTCAGTCTGAGAAGGGCTGTCAGGAGTCTGTGCCTCCTGGCAGGAAGACCCCAGCAGGATAGTGGTGGCAGCGGACCCTAGTGGGAGGAAGTGGAATAGCACCCTCCAGGAATTGGCGCAAGCCAAGGAGGGAGGCTGGTTTTCTCTAAATTTCGTTTAGTTTTTCTCTAAGTTTCGTTTCACACTAAAACACTTCCCTTGGAAATTGAACTTCCTAGCAGATGCTTTCTACCACCTCTCCCAACATGCAAGTCAACAGGAGGAGGTGATCGATACCATGTGCACACCCACCCAACTGGGAGGAGCGGTGATGACACGCAGTCAAGTGAAGGGAGGAGCCCTGCAGATGGCTGACTTTTTTTGGGGGGGGGACTTAAATCCCCTCTAACAGAGGCTGACAAAGAAGACATTGAAAAAGAGGGGTCTTTGGTGGAAAGGGGGGACAGCTGCTGGTACCACCACGACAGACTGTTCATCCCTATATCCCTGAGGGGGGAGGTTTTATCATTGGGGCACGATAATAAGCTGGCTGGACATTACAGATACCTAAAGACTCTGAACCTCATCCTGAGGCAATTCTGGTGGCCTCAAATGCAGAGGGATAAATCCCAATACGTGGCCTCATGCCGGACCTGCTTAATGGCCAAGCGGTGGGCTGGGAAGGCTCCAGGTCTCTAGAACCCCCCAAATGGCCCTGGTCCGTTATCTCCATGGATTTTATCATGGATCTACCCTCAAGCAGGGGAAAGACTGTGATTTGGGAGGTAGTGGACCTGTTCTGAAAGCAGGCGCATTTCATCCCATGTAAGCAGCTGCCCACGGCCCGGAAGTTAGCTCAGATATTCCTGCAACATATAATCAGGCTGCACACCTTGCCTCGCAAGATTATATCAGATCAGGGGGCCCAGTTTGTGGCGGGGTTTTGGAAGGAACTGTTGAAGCTGTTGGGGACTGAACAGGGATTCAGGAGCACCTACCATTCCGAGATGGATGGGCAATCAGAATGGACCAATCAAGTGTTGGAGCAGTTCCTCAGATGTTTATCATAAACTACCAGCAGGATGACTGGGTTGACCTGCTTCCATTTGCCGAATATAGTTACAATAACTCAGTACACAGCTCCATTGGCATTTCCCCTTTCAAGGTGGTGCACGGGTATGAAGGGGACCCCCTCCCGACCCTGAGCCGGGGGGAGTCGATCCAGGGGATGCCCAAACATGGTGGTCTAAAGTAACTCAGGGGTGGGCGATCCTCCAGGAAACCCTGGCTACAAGTGGCAAGCTGACAAAGGGAAGGACCTGGAATGAATGAGTGCACGAGAAGCATGTTAACGCTTCCAAATTAGTACGCGCTTTTCATAAACGACACCCCCTTAAACCGGTGTGTGAGTGTGAGCGTGTGTGAGGAGTTGTGGGGGGGGCAGAATGTCAAACTCGATGCCTCGTTTGCCATGTTGTTTGGGGAAATTCCAAAGGAGGGGGGAGTGTGAATGTGTGTGAGCGAGAATGGCTTTATTGTAGGGCAATCCATCTCATGCAACATTTCTGAAGATACCTCCCTTTCCCAGGGATGACGGCCAGATGGCCTTGGTCTGTGTCTGTACTTACTGCATTAGCTTAGATAACAAAAGGGTGATTTACAGGTGTGTGGCTTTGGAAGTATGCTGGTTAGGTGGGAATGAATGGCCAGTGTGATTGGAGGGGACTACCTTTGAACCATGTATAATTGGGGGGGTTTCGCACCAGAACCTCAGTTCTGACTCGACACCATTCCTAGCTTGGAGCATCTTTATTGTTCAATAAACAAATCACCTCTGGTGAGTGTTGTTGAGAGTAACTTTGTCAAAGAGTCTGACAGCTGGCAGAACAGGGTCTGTAAGTCAGAGAAGGCCTATTCTGTCTCAGGTTGAATACAATGTTTAGCAACTAGCTGGTCTAATAAAATGCTCCCATCAGAATTGTCTCTTCTGCCTCACTCATAAGGAAATGAAGATGTATTGTTGTTCTTTCAAACTATCATTCTTTAATTTGCACAGGTAATGTAAAAGGACACTTATTAGCATAGCTGATAGGACCTATATTTCTATAAAAGATTTTAGCATCTAGCACACTTCTGACACCAAAATAACAACACTATAAATGAAAGATGAGTTAAAACTCCACACTCAGTAACTTCCTTCACTGCTTCATTTCAGTGAACCTTTCTCATAGTTATTTGCTACATTGTGCTAAAGAGACTAGAATACAACTAAAAACAAAGCAATTTGTATTTGGGCATCCTTGGGAACCAGACACAAAATGCCTCTTCCAAAGACTGTTTCCCCACCCATCTTCAAGGATTCCTAGACCACGGGGCTACCCTTGAATAGGACAGGCAGAGCACACTTTACATTCTTCAGTTGTCCCTCCCCCCAAGCCCAGGTCCAATGGAATGGACTGTGCCCTAACTCCCTCTGCGCATACGTGATACTGGGGTTTGCAACGTTATTTTTGGTTTTAAATTGAAAATGTTTTCACTATTATCATAAGCTGCCTTAAACCACCAGGAAAGGCAAAATGTAACATTTTAAATAAACAAATAAATATTCTGCTAGACCAACTGCTTAGTTTTGAATTTGCTCTGTATCTTTTCTTTTATACTGTTGCTTTTATTCTAAGTAAGTGTACAGTTTCAATGCCCTTTGCCCTTTTCCACTTCTGGGAAATACAGTACTAAGTCTGACCCATGTATACACTGTCTTAAGGTCCCGGAAGGGGCACAGACTGCTGTAGGAGATACACAAGAAAGGCTGTACCCATGCAGTGGAAGCAGTTCATGTCACAAACTGCTCTTCAGAGCACAGCTGCTGAAGAGGAAGGAATGGGTGGTTTCACTGGCAAAAGGACGATCAGCTGTCTTTAAAGCTTGATTACTTACATCATTCCGTATAACCTCTCTAGAATCTGCCAGTAGGTCCATCAGCCTTGAGACACCTGAAAAAGAAAGCCGCTACAGGAGATCTGCCGTGCCTGTGAAGCTGCCTGACAGACAGTCAAGGCCTCCAGCCGCCCCCGTCCAGTCCCGCCTGGCTCAAAAACCTCAGGAGGATCTGGCTCTGCTGCCCTCTCCTTCACTGAAGACGGCCGGGATTCAGGCTAGGGCCCGCTCACGAAACACAGGCTCAAAGGGCAGCGCTGCACAGCCCCTCCCCGTCCCTGGCAAGTCTGTTTTGAAGTGGGTGTTGCCATTCAAGTAATTAAATTAGCTATATTAAATTAGCCCAGGTGTATATCTTGCTGAAGTTCCAGGCAACCCTACTTACCCATAGGGCTGACTAGTATGACCTGCTGCACTTGGGGGCCCTGCTGCTTTAACAGCGCTGTCAGAAGCTTCACTCCAGGCCGCCGAACATGGAAATCAAACTCCTGCAAACACACAGTGTTGCGCGTGAGCCCTGAAGATCCACCGTATTTCACAACCAACGTCATTTTGAACAAGCCCTACGTAACAGAACCAGATCTGGATTGTCCACACCATGGAGCCAGGGTGGTGCAGTGAACGGGAGTGTTGGACTAGGACCGGGGAGACCCTCTCCTGCCAAGTGAACTCACTCACCAGGTGGCCGTGGGCCGGTCGCCCCCTCTCAGCCAAGCTTAGCCCACAGGACTATTATGAAGACTAAACGAAGTGCAGCGGTTAAGCAACTAAGGAAGGTGCCCCCCCCCCCAACAACACCGCCTGTTCCTGCCAAAATGGATCTCCGAGAATCTTGCCTGTTCTGACATCAAGACTAAGGAAATACTCACTTCTAAATAGGTCAACAGAAGAGTGACATTTTCTTGCTGCTTAATGAAAATTTCTGTAAATTGACTTTCAAGGTCTTCCGTTTGCTTCTGTGAATTTTCTTCTGTACAATTAAAGAAAACATGGTTACAGTTCAGCCTCAAGTCAGTTTAAATTTTTTTGTCAAGAGCAAATGCAGTGGGATTTCAGCTTAAATATAACCTGTTTACAAGATTTCAAAAACTAGGAACAGATATTTTAATTATGCTATTAGGGGAAAGTTCCACAAACACAGCAGTTGCCTACTAGTCTTTGCAGGTGGGAGTCCCCTGATGACTGCAACAGACAGGAAGGTCCATGTGGAAGAAGGCAGCCCTTGCAAAAGATTAGGAGCTCTGAAGGGTCAGGGACTCCAAGGTCCACGCACCACGGTTGTCGGCTGGCACTGCCACGGGATGTCTCACGTGTGGCCTGTGCGCCTGCGCTTCGCCCACCCCCCGCTTTCCCCTGCAGCCGTCTTCTCCCCGTTGCTTTGTTATCTCTCCCTCCGTGGCCTTGAGCGCCGGGTTCCTCCGTCCTGCCTCCTTCGCCAGTCTCCCGCCTGCCTCCTTTGCCAGGCTCCCGCCCTCACTGGGTCCATTAGCTTTTCCCCGTGCTTGCAGGTGTTTGCTCATTGGCCTCTACTCATCAGGGGGTCTTGTATGATTGGGGTATAACTGCTTAGCCCGCTAATTTTATGTTATTCCATCCTGACACAGAAGTTCATGGAGTGTCCATTACTCTAATCAATAAACTGAACCTACTTCGGTCCTGTGTGTTGGTGCTGAGTTATTGGAATACCTGACAACTATTTGGGAGAAACTGGAAGTCAGCAAATATCTTTGAGGACCAGAGAACTGTGCTCAGATCCACTGTGGCTTGGACCAGCTGGACACTGCTGAGGATTCTTCAAAAGCAGCACCACGAACTACGTATTATAACAGTCCAGCAGCCTGAAAGTTACTCAAGCACGGACCCCTGAGACCAGGTGTTTGGATCACCTCCAATCATGAGCTGTATTTGGGGGGGGGGGATTCCCCTACAGGGCTTATTAAAAAAATTAAATGGAAAAGCTGGGACATTTTAAGGTGCTCTAAAAAAAAATTTCCTTGAAATGAGTGATGTGTGCTAAGGTAGCATAGCTTGCAGTGGTTTGCTGCTCTTTCTCGTTCTAGCATTGGACGTACTTTCAACATTGCTTGTAGAAATCTAAAACATCTATACCTTTCAAGTCTGTAAATATGCCAATTAATAGAGTTTTATGTGCCCATTATAAATGGTATGCTTTTTGTTATTACACCAGGAAAATAATCTTGGTTTCACAGAAGTCAGTTTTGCATGTTTCAATTTCTGATTTTTTTGCCCATGGCTTCAAAATTTCCAGAAACATTGCCTGTAGCTGGTTCATTTTTTCCTGGGTGCAGGGGGAGGGACTTTGCAGACTGACCACACAGCAGAATAGGAGCTACGCACCTCCATCCACAGCCTTACACTATGCTCTGACCCAAGACCTCACAGTTGTTCTGTGTTCATCCACTTTCCCCCAAAGACAGACATACTCCTCCATCCTTGAACGGCTGAGTTTGGGACATGTAATATTTCATCCCTGGCAACCCAAGCTCTAGGAAATATCTGGCAACCTAAGCTCCAGGAAACAGTCAGTGTTACAACGCTGAAGACCTCATCCATACTTGATTGACAGGCAACCCAAACTAGCAACACTAGACCTGAAAGCAGGTGGGAGTCCCCACAATTCCTTACAGGTCACCCATCTGACTTCTATAATCAGCCATGAACCACAAACTGAACTGCAAAAAAGTGGTTTGTGCCAACCCCTAGTGATTTTACAGATTACAGAAGGCAAAACGATACAAGAAAAATTATTGGCCAGGTATTGGCTTTTGTGATTCATTGAGCACTACTAAAACAATTCTCACATGTGATGGAAGAGAATACAAAAGCTGCTATAAACTTTTTCATTACCTGATTAGTTAAGGTTTTGACCAGATTTACCCTCTAGCTTCTTGAAGACACCTATAGTGAAGCAGACCTAACAGCCATCACAGAAAACTGCTGCCCACAATCGCCAACAGCACGAGGCACATTACATCTCCACTGAATGCACAAGTCTAGCTATGCCCTAAGGCTTCTCACAGCTTGCCTTCCATTTCAATTATAGGCATGAACTTAAGTCAAAATTGGGCCACATAAATATCAGAGACTGGCAAGATTTAATTAATTTAAGCAACTAATGCAAAGAAAATCTAATTACTCCAAGCAGATAAGGAAAAGCTGAAGTGTGTTTTGTCTCACAGTTAAGGGTTTGGGTAGATTTGCCTTCCCTAGAAGCACCTCTGTGTGGGGAAGGTTCCTACTCAAGCCTGATTCAAAGGTGCATGCAAGCTTGATGTCTGAAGGGGCAAATTCTCTCTGACAAATTCCTGTTGCAGGCTGTCAGCTAGAAAAGAACCTCCACACTCCATTCAGGATGGAAAACCTGAGACGACACTGCATTGTTAAACTTCTAGGTAAACCCCACACCTTTCTTCCTACCTCCGCCGCCTTTCCCATGTGTACCCTATATGCCCACCCTCAGGCTCCTTGCTCCAGGGGGAGGTGCTGCTGCATCTGGCACACAAGCAAACCCAGGCAGAACAGAGAGAACCAGGCACCCGTCTGGGAAGGACTCCAGTTTGCACAAAGGATGAATTGGCTGCTTGGAATCTAGCCTTCCAAGCATTACAGCAAGAAACGAGGTGGAATCATGGGCACTGGGGGCAGGGCCCCCCAAAAAAGCTACACATTTCTGCCAGGTACATGACTGTAAATTATTGTTAAAGATAATAATTAAGAAGAGAGAACAATCTCTATCAAACACAAATCAACATGGCTTCTTCAAAGGGAAGTCCTGATTCAACAGTCTTCTGAAAGTCTCTTAGTGTATCAACAAGCAGATAGATGGGATTATATGGCAGATACAATCAACACAGATTCCCTCAACCCTTTGCAAACAAAGCAGGAAGCCACAAGAGGAAAACAGACACTCTTCCAGACTGGCAGCTGATTAAGCAACAGGAATCAGAGAGGAGGATTAAGCGGACAGTGCTCACAAAAGAAGGAGTTCGGCAGCATGAGGACCAGAGAGGGAGAAGAGAAGGGAACAGATGACTGAGATCTGGGGTCAGCTTCTGTGTCTCCTTTGTTGCAGGTGTTTAGCCTGGTCACGGCCAGCAGCTTTTTGGCAGCGGAGGAAAGATGGAACATACCTGTGCCTGCTCAGTGAAATCTATGCTGAGTTTGTGATCCTCCCCCCGCCCCCCCCCCTTGGAGGCATTTAGTTAGGACATGGCTGGAGGCAGGTTTCATGATCACAGGGATGTCAGGAAGGTGCAACAAAGCTCACCAGGGAATTTCGGGGAGTCTGATAGCCGCTTGCTCTCCCAGGGAACAAGACAGCCATAAAATGCATACGAGTCTCAGGGAGAATGCAGCTGCATTGCTACAAGGAGACAGCTATTTGCTTTGCCTGCCAGGAATGGCAAGATAGATAAAGAGCTCAGAGGTTAATGAAATTACACATGGCAGCGGGCGGGGGGGGGGGATTGTTTTCTTCCTCTTACAATGTAAGTTAGTTCTGAGGGTCACCAAATGAAGTTGAAAGGTAGCAGATTCAGAACAGACCAAAAAAAAAGGGGATATTTTTTCCATGATGCATAACTAACTCATGGAATTCAATGCCACAAGATACTGGTGACAGCTGTAAACTTCAGTGGCTTCAAAAAGGGAGTAGAGAAGTTTAAGGAGGTAGCTTTATCAACAGGAAAGGGTGGCCTAGTAAATCAAATTTAATAAATAAATAAACAGCTGTCAGCCATAATAGCCACACTGAATGTCTGTGTTCAGCAGCAGAACATCTCTAAACAGCAGCTGATGGGGGAGGGAAGAAAGATTAAAGTTATGGTCATTAAAACAATCCACGTTTTTCATCACCTATGCCACATGTTGACAAACAGAGTCCTGAACCTTTTAAAAGAGTGATTCCCAACCTGGGGGCCTGCAGAGTTACTGCAAATTAAGCACAGTTATTTTGATCTTCCTCAGTGAATGGAAACTAATAGTACAACTACTATGAATGTGGGGATTTGAAAAAAAATTTTGATGTTAAAAAGGGGTTCTCATACTTGAAAAGGTTGGGAACCACTGTTCTAAAACATTAAATTAAGTGACCAAAAGACGGATTCTAGGAATATTTTGAATTGCAAATACATGCACAGTGACAGAAGAGCTATGGTATTAGTCAAGCAACATTTTAACACTTATGCACATAAATATTAAGAATGGTATTAAGTAGTTTATAAATGTATCCCGTCATTAAAACAACACTCCAACAAAAAATTTAAGATCAGTTTTTAAATTATTCACTAAGTATAGCCTGATAGATAATTTCTTCAAATTATATGATGTTTGCTCAGTTATTTTAGTAAACCTGGAAACCCTAAATAATGTTAAGCAGGGAAAATCTATGAAAACAGATGAGATGAAGCATGCTCATGTACACAGCATTAAAAAGGACACTGTAAAAGAGTCAATGTGGAAGCCCAAATTCCTTCAATAGATATTTTTTTTTGTAAATTAAGCACATATTAAGAACTTATTTCTGAATGCCATCTGCTCTCTCATCCCCTTTTCTAGCTGAACTCAGCTCAGGATCAATTGTTTTTGCAGATCTGGCTGTGTTTTTATTGGGCTGCTTGACAGTTCGGCTGTGCTCTCCCCATTTCCCACTCGTTGATCCTTTGTTAGCCACCCTGAGTAAAGGCGGATAAGGTGGGATATAAGTATCTTAAACCAACGGAGCAATAATTGAGATCTTTCAGTTCAGTAATTAACACTGCTACATATCCCTCCCCATCACCTCTATCAGTTACATAATTCTTCTCAGTTTAAAGCGACCAAAACTGTATTATACTAGAGCTTAGATAATATTTTTAAACATCTTCACAGTATCCCTTTTCAAATGTGTGAATGCAAGCCAGTTAATGCTTGGAAATATGAGTAAGACACACCATGCTGACAAAAACTCAGTTTGTTTTACCTTCAGAATCATCTGTAAATGCAGATAAAAGAGAGAAATTCAAACATGAGGAAATGTTACACAAAAGATCAGTTAGCAGTTTAAAACTAATTTCAAAGATGAAATCTGGTTATTATATTAGTTTACTTCAGACATTCCCAAACGTATTTAACTCAACACCATTTGGAGGCCCAGCCTCAGCCCAGGACGCCACAGACTTCTTCCCAGTCTTGCCACCCTGGGGTTTTGCACAGACTTCCTGTGAGAGACTGTTATCCTATTTCACAGTCTCCAAATGGAAATAAAAAGAATCAGCCACTGGCAAATTCTATCAGTCTAGATGGGACCACTGATCCCGTCCATCACACAACTGTACCGCCATCAGTGTACAGTGTACAGTGTACATCTTCAGCGTCCCTGAATTTGTGTTTCGCTTCTCTTTTCCCCTGCCCAATCCCTCATTCCATTTTGGGAGGTATCTATTACATTCTGGCAGGACCTACTAAATTTTGTACAAATGCTTAGATTAACTCTAACCACTTAACACTGGTAAACACAGTTGCTTTGTTAAAACAATTCAGCATCACCATCCTCTTAATAACAGGTCAACAACTGAAGTGTTGCTGCTCACAAAGTCAACAGTTTTAAGAACATGCCCTACATTCCCTCCATCAGCATTTAACAGAATTCATGAAAAAAGGTCTTTAAAAGATGCTCAGCATCACATTAACTGTCAAAGTATCAGGAAAATTTCTTCTGAAGAATGAATACTACAATTAAGAGGACACTGCAGCCAGGGATGATTTCTGCACAGTCAAATGTTTTCTTTCTTGGGCCTATCGATACAAGGAATTGAATTTAAAAAGAGAAGCTAGACTCTGCATCAACATTTTCATACAATTTCAGTTTGCAGTCAGCATAAAAGATATTCTCAAGTATGATGGCGTGAAAAAAGAATGAAAAAATGTTGCTGTATGCTAAGAGGAAAAAAAATCATTTAAGAAATCTAGAAGAGAAAAAGATTTAATAATGAACAGATTTGTGACAGGGCATGAGCATTCATGAGTTTAAGATGCTGCTTGTTAAAACACTCGCAGTGCCATATGCACGGTTCTGGGAAATACCAGCATAAGCCAGTTTCTAACTCTTAAAATGGTAATGCTTCTGTTAAAAAAATGTAGGTGATGCATGGCTCAAGTACAGAAACCGGAGACTGAGGGCAGAGCAGTGTTTCCTGTGGCCAAGGCTTCAGCACAATGCATAGCTCTTTGCTCCTTCCCACAAACATCAGCGAAAAAGGACTCAGAGTCCAAGATTTGCTTACAAATTCACATACAGTTTGTACAGGCCGAAGAATTCACATCTCTCAATTACATTTCCCCCTAGGAAATCAGCTTGCTCGTGACTAGTGCAGGCAGACTGTTTCTTAATTTCGAAGACAGCCCTGTCTGATGCAGAGGAATACCCAGAACACTTTTAACAAAGCATTACTTTAAGCTGTAGAAGCAAATTAAGTTACTCATATGAGGGTGAAGCAAAAACTGGTGCCAACTTAAAAATTAATCTCTACATAAGAACATAAGAGATGCCAATGTTGGATCAGGCCAAAGGTCCATCCAGTCCAACACTTTGTATCACACAGTGGCCAGGAATACCAGGTGCCATCCGGAGGTCCACCAGTGGGGCCAGGACATTAGAAGCACCAAGATAACTGGTTTAGTGGAACCCTTCATGTCACTATGACAGTTTAAAATAGTTTCTAACACAGGAAATAGAGGGGTGAATACTCAAGAAAATCTGCTCATAGAATACAGGGGGAGACTAATCCTCTAACTGCAGCTAGAGAGGTAAAATTTCCAGAAATTATGAAGTTTGTTTCCTTCCCCCAGAAAAAAAATGGCATTTGGAGAAAAACAGGAATCATTTAATACTTATTTTCTTACCATGCCTAAGCTTATTTTACTACTTTAACATCAAAAGCATGTTTAAAAACTTAGCATATAAAACTATGTTATTTGGCATATTTATGAAATTTAAAAGCATAAAAATGTCTTAATTTGTCACAACCAAAACAGTAAATACACCCAGTAGTGCAGAGGGAGCTGGAAACGGCTGGCCCAAGACTATCTTGGCAGAAGTACCATCTCCACTTTTGTCATCCGGGAGGTGGGGGGGGGGGAATCAAACTTGAAAAAAGAAAGCACAAACTTTGTTGTAAAGAAAATAAAGTGTTATTTGGACAGATACAGCTTCATATTTGGATATGCAGTTAAATTATGTAACACTGAAAATACTGAACGCTCAGTGTATTGTTACACACATTATGCCATATTAGTTGTGATCGATATTATCGACATTTAAATAATAAATAGACCCTTGAAAATATGATGTATATGTTTACCAAAGATACCAGAATTATCACCAAGATATCTAAATCCTCAACACGGCCCCATCTGCATACACTTAATTCAGAGACTGGAGCTGTGGACAGAAGAAACCAGATCTTTCTACAATCCTAAGGAAAGGCCCTGGTTTGCAGAAAACATCCACTACTGAATATATTATGAAAAGCCTGTGATTCTGCACAAAGAGCTCCATAAGTGGGAAGAGCAGCCGTGGTGGTGGCGGGACGGGCTGCCACGTGGCGGCTGGCTGATGGTGACCCTGCAGCGTTTACAAGGCAAGAGACTTTCAGAGGTGGCCACTTCCTACTACAGTAGTTATTAAAAAGAGCAACTGCCTACCAAAGCAGCCCGTCTCACAAAAAATACTGACAACTATACACTAAAGGAGAGCCAATACTGTTGGTTTCTGTGCAGAAGAGCCCATGCCAAGCTGGACATTCTACCCCTTCAACTCTAGAGCTCTCTTTAATTCTCTACATTTGAACACCGCTAATTCTGCTCCCTACTTCGTATTGGTTAAGCTGCGAATTGGTTCTGGTTATTTATTCCTGAAAACACAGGAACATGTAATTTCTCCGAAAGAGAGCATCTGGGGGAAGCCTATTCATTTGCTACATTTTGCGTTTTGTGGTTCTAGCTCTGGAACAGAAGATTTGTACACTGGAAACATACTCTGACAGCAAGGCCATTTCTGCTGCCCTTCCCAGTGGAAATGCATCACCACCATCCTGCTACACAGGTTACACACTGAGCGAGCGAGAGAGAGAGAGACAGACAGACTGGCTGACTCTTGTAAAAAGGTTATGCTGTACTATGCCACAAACCAATCTTTTCTTCCCCTTCTCTGAAGTTAATATCCATCCAAATAATGTTACAGCTGGCACAGGAAAACGGTAAAAAAAAGATTCACTGGCTGATCAATCTGGCAGGTGAGCATTCTGGACGGTCAGGGCCACAGAAAAGGCAATGTTGACAAGCAGGCCAGATGAACAGAATGCCAGGGGATAAAACTGCCACACAGACTTTTTGTTGTTACACCAGCAACAGTTTCTTCCTGGGTCACAGAAGCCTGCTGAGGAAGGCAGAGAAAGAACTACCTCTGCAGTGGAATGCCTGTACAATCCAACCCAGGTGTTTGGGTTTTTTCCTTCTGTTACTGATAAATGAATAAGCCAAGTTCAGTGTAAGGGCGGTTAAAGAAAGGATAGATGGGAAAAGAAAGGGCTCACCTTGTTCCTCTTCTTCCAGATCATTAGATATGATATTGTAGAGCGTGTCCAAAGCATAGCCAATTATTTCAGAATCTGAACTGCAAACAGAAGGACAAGTACAGACTCTTAATACGTGGGAACAAACATTTAGATTTAGATGGCGTGCACCCAAGAGTGCTCAAAGAACTTTCTAGAGAGCTTGCAGAGCCTTTGTCCATCCTCTTCCAGACCTCTTGGAGGACAGGAGACGTGCCACAAGACTGGAGGAGGGCAGATATGATCCCAATTTTCAAAAAAGGGAGGAGGGATGACCCAGGAAACTACAGGCCAGACAGCCTGACCTCCGTCCCACGGAAGATTTTAAAGGGATCGATCTGTGAGCATCTAAAGGACAGCTTGGTGATCTGGGGAAGTCAGCACGGATTTGTCCCCAACAGGTCTTGCCAGACCAATCTCATTTCCTTCTTTGATTGAGTGAAGAGCTTACTGGATCAATGGAATGAGGTTGATGTTTAGTTTTCTGGATTTTAGTAAAGCTTTTGACAGCGTTCCCCATTATGTTTTGACGGGTAAACTAGAGGACTGTAGGACTGGACAGTTAGGTAGATACGGAACTGGTTGGAGAACCGCACTCAGAGAGTAGTTGTCGATGGCATTTCATCTGAATGGAGGGAGGTGTCCAGTGGGGTGCCACAGGGCTCGGTTCTGGGCGGGCTACTCATTAAATTTGCAGATGACACTAAATTGGGAGCAGCAGCAAACACACCACAAGACAGAGACAGAATTCAACAAGAACTGAACACACTGGAAAAGTGGGTGGATGTGAACAAGATGCAATTTAACAAGGATAAGTGCCAAGCTCTACATCTGGGTAACAAAAATGAGGAACACGCATACTGGATGGGGGATATGCTTCTGAGTAGCAGTGTGTGTGAACAAGACCTTGGGGTAAGGGTGGACTGAAAGTTAAATATGAGCAGCCAGTGTGATGCAGTGACAAAAAAGGCTAATGCAATATTGGGCTTTATCAACAGAGGCATAACATCCAAATGGCAAGATGTCATAGTCCTGCTGTACACTGCATTGGTCAGGCCACACCTGGAGTATTGTGTGCAGTTCTAGAGGCCTCACTTCAAAAGGGAGGTGGACAGATTGGAGCAGGTGCAGAGAAGAGTGACAAGGATGATCGGGGCCCTGGAGACCAAGCCCTCTGAGGAAGGGCTGAGGGACTTCTTGGGAATGTTCAGTGTGGAGAAGAGGAGGTTGAGGCGGGGACAGGATCGCTCCATTTACGTATCTGAAGGGCTGTCAGAGGAGGTCAGGGAGCTGTTCCTGTTGGCATTTGAAATGATGGGTTTAAATTAAGGGCAGGAAGGTACCAGCTGGATGTTAGGAAAAACTTTTTGACAGTAAGAGTTGTGCAACAGTGGAATCAGCTGCCCAGGGAGGTGGTGAACTCCTCCTCACTGGCAGTCTTTAAGCAGCGGCTGGACAAACCCTAGTCAGGGATACTGTAGGCTGATCCTGCATTGAGCAGCAGGGGGTTGGACTAGATGGCCTGGATGGTCCCAACTCTGTGATTCTATGATCTTTTGTCAATGTGTTCATCAATATAAATGACGATCTGTGAGGAACCGGGGGGGGGATAGATTCTGGAGTTCTCTCTCTCCATGTGCTTCTTGTAGGCAGTTGGGGGGCCAGCAAACTATCTGGACAGTGTTGCAGCCCATGCTTGTTTTGGAGGATGGGAGGTAAGGGAATGGAACCCCATCTCTAGAGCACCGGCACTTTGTTCATGATGGATTGTTTTATTCTGTTCTTAGTTGTTGGATTATGGCATATGCCTCTTCTATTAGCCGCCCTGAGCCCGTTTGGGGAGAGCGGGATATAAATAAAATAAATAAATAAATGTAAGGGAGGTGTGGCAGCTGACGAAGTCCCACTGCTATAAAAATCTTTGCATCCGCCACACAGGAAAGGGGGGGGGCACTGTGAGGGCAGCGCCTGAACACAAATCCCTTGCTAGTCTCCTTGACGGCTGAAAGATGAGGCATGAAGGGGGGACGGGGGACTTCCCAGCAGACAGCTCAGGCTCTTCACTACCACAGAACTGAGGGGCTTCAGGACTCTGACTGCCATGACTGGGCTGAAAGACAGACCAAGTGTTGCCAAGGGCTGGGACTGCCAGGTGGCAGCCTGAATCTGCTGCTGGCACACTGATCTGGGAGCAAAAGTCCCTGAATTCAGCTGGGTTAATGTCTTAGGAGACACACAGAGGATCGAGCTGCCAGTTGTCCTCAGCATGAGAACAGCAGCTCTGCTTTTCATCTTTTAGGGGGGAGGACGAGTGACAACGGACTACTGCGCCCTCACTTTCATCCAGATGCCATGGCGGGGTGGGGTGGGGGGGAGAAGAACACCCTGGACGGCAGATCCCTCGTGTGCCAAGAGTGGGGAACAACATGACCGCCTCCCAGTATCTCTTTTGTCTCGCCTCACCCTGGCGAGAGCACCGTCAGTGCCACCTGGACTTCTGAAAGAGCAGGAGGACCCACTGCCAGAGCGATCCCGTTGTGGCTCTCGACTCAAGCCGGACCCTTGCAGAACACCGCCACCCATCACTGGCTCCTCCTCCTCAGCAGCAGCAGCAGCAGCAGCAGGTTGTGACACGTGTCTTGCCAGTCCCTCAGCAAACAAACCCCTGAGGCAGGCAGGTCCTCCTCAGCAGAGGAACGAGAGGGACCCAGCTCCATCTCTCACTCTACCACGAAGCTCTCTGGGTCACCTGGGGCCAGTGTTCCCTCTAAGCCGAGTTAGTGCGAGCTAGCTCACGGTTTTTTAGCCTCCAGCTCACACATATTTTGTCTTAGCTCAGGAAGGAGGGCTCTAGAGCAAACTAATTTATGCAGCAGCCAAATCGCCTGCTCACAACTTTAATGCCAGTAGCTCCCAAAGTAGAATTTTTGCTCACAAGACTCCACAGTTTAGAGGGAGCGTTGCCTTGGGCCAGTCAGTCTCTCAGCCTGGCCTACCTCACAGGGTTGTTATGTGCTCCCCGATGCTCTTTGGAAGAGGGGCAGGATAAGAATTCATAAATCAAAATCCCAGTCACATGCTTTCACTCACTTTGACAGCATACACGATCTAACTTGTCCTACACAAAACATGGTCGTAATCAAACAGTTCACACCTGACCTACTGCTATACCTTCCACCCTACAGAGCTCCCCCAACCCCTTCCCTTATATTTGAAGTGAGGCCATGATGACTATGTACTTTTGTCGATGTTTTACTTAATTTCTGAGAGAAAACTAAGTTGGAAAACATGGTGGAATGACAAGAAGCAGGGGGGAAGAGCTACACAAAACCTCTCATTTCTGAATAAGACAGTATAAGGTAGAAAGCAGGAGGTAGAAAAAAGGAGGAGGCGGCTTAACTGGCTTGAAGCTGCCCTGCCTATTTATTGCACCCAGGCAACCATAGGCCAATTAGTTTGTTGCCAATTGCCTCTAAATTATATAGTAAGCATTTAAAAAATAAATAAGAGGCTTATGTCATCGATAATAATTTAATCCACCCTCTCCAAATAGGGTTCAAAAAAGGTCACTCCACCATCGAACACTGCCGAACTCTATATACCTTGGCTTCAGAGGCCCTACAAAAGCCCTATATGCAGGCTTCATCGACCTGGCTTCTGTGTTTGACTCCTTAGACAGAGGTAGATTATGGCAGAAACTTTTGAACATCAACACTGACCCATGGCTGGTACATCTGATTAGCCAGCTTCATTGTGATACCAACATAAAGGTTAAGGTTGGGAGAGAAGGCCGATGTACTAAGGACATCCAAGTGTGGAAAGGGGTGAAACAGGGTTGTGTGTTAGCCCCCACTTTGTTTAATCTCTATCTAAATGACATAATCGCTAGTTTAGAAGGTAGTGAACATATGGCTCCAGCCACTGGACAACATAAGGTTCCAATCCTTCTGTATGCAGATGACATGGTCCTTCTGTCCTTAACCAAGATTGACTTGAGAAGACTCCTGAACAAATTGGGTGAGTATTGCAATGCCGAAGGCTTTCGAATAAATTATGCCAAGTCAAAAGTTCTGGTTTTTAGGAAGCACCCAAAGAAATCTACCTGGAGCATTCTTGGCACTCAGATCGAACAATGCAGTACGTGTAAATACCTGGGCTTAACCTTCTCTGAAACTCTTCTGGTGCCGTCATCTTACATCTTTAAAAGCTGCTGCCATGAAGAATTTGGGGGCTCTACTGAAGTTCTATTTTTCGAAGGGAGGAGGCATGGTTCTTAAACTGTACAGTTCTTAAACTGTACGGGAGTAAGATAATTCCAGCCATGCTATATGGATCAGAGATCTGGGGCTGGGGTCGGGGAGACCAGATATTGTCCTCATTAGAAATAATACAGATTTTATGAGGAGGATTCTTGTTTTGCCAAGAGGTGCGCCAGTGGCATTAATGAGGGCTGAACTGGGGATTACGTCACTGAATGCCAGAGTCAATGTTAGAATTCTATCCTATTGGAGAAAATGCTTAGAACGACCCCAGGGTTCCCTGGGGGGGTTTACATTTTAGTGTGTGCTTGAAAGCCTCCAAGAGTCTAGGTGACTACTTGACTTCAGTTCAACTAAAATTTAAAATTCCTGATGATTTATTAAGGAATAAAACCCAAGCACGGGAATGGAAAGAATGGGTGTTCAAAAAGGATGGGCTTATGGATCAGGACGTGTTGGCGCACTGTCTTATGGCACCCTTATTTAAGTTTTTAAAAAGGGATCATTGCAGGTCCCTCTATTTAGAGAAGTTAACCATCCTGGAATTAAGATTGGCTTCTACGGCTTTAAGATTTCAATCCGTACCCTCAATGATCAGGACTGGACTTTTTTTGGTATCCCTGCCCCCCTTAGACTTTGTCTTTGTGACACGGGGGAAGTAGATGATATAGTACATTTTGAGATGCCCATGGCATGAAGCTCCCAGGTTAAGGTACATCATACCTATTATTCCGCCAAGTAATGGACTCTCTGATCTGGATTTGGTCAAATTTTTACTCTTGGACCTGGACCACTATATGTTTCTAGTAGAATGGCGCCAATTGCCTTCGCATCAAGGAAAACCAGAATGAGCCTAGTATTTAATGTAAAGTAGAATGAGTGTTGGATTTAATGCAGTCACGGATTTTTTTAGTGCCAACATTTGTCATTTTATAGTTTGGTGTATTTTTTTACTCAACCATGGTGTGACTTGTTATGGCCTATGGCTAAGACAATAAAACTTATCTATTTATTGCACATGAGCCACAGCCAATGGGCAGCCTACATAGTGAAGTTCCTCTGCCAGCAGTTGGGCAACACTAAGGAGCCTGGGATGGCATCCAAAAATGCTTCTTGGGGGTGGGAAAGGAGCTCAGCAGCAGGCGACCTGGTGGTCGTGGTCTGATGTGGACGCCTGGCAGACTACCCAGGGGTTGTGCAATGAAGGATGCTTTCAGCAAACCACGCTTGGCTGTGACATCCCAATGCCACCATGGTTATTTTCATACTAGTCTGACTTCTATGGCAACGTGAATTGTGTAACGGGGGAACAGTCATACAGAAGAGTGCCCCACCCATCTCTTGAATGCTTACCGATCTGTCTGGAGAACATGGATAAGATGGTCCATGGCTTGAATCCCAACTTCCAAGCGGTATTTCTGTACAATTGAAGAAAAACAACTAAAACAAAGGAACACTGTACCCTAATTTATTTATTTAAAATGAATTATTTATTTATTTATTGTCAGGTTTCTACCCCGCCCTTCCCGCAAAGCAGGCTCAGGGCGGCTTCCAACGACATAAATACATGATAAAAACATACATAATACAAATTAAAACATAACAGTGAAAAATAATAGATTACAAAGTGCTGGCGGCAGTTAAAATTCAATCAGAAGGAATGCTTCCAGGTGGGTTTCCAGCTCCCAGCATAAAGTGCTTAGATGTTATTCTGCTCGTCACTCTTATGGCAGCTGCTCAATGACGACTTTGCGGGCGTTAACATACACATTTAAAACCACAGTTGTAACTGGCCCCACTGCTGGACCTCCTGATGGCACCTGGTATTTTTGGCCACTGTGTGACATAGAGTGTTGGACTAGATGGGCCATTAGCCTGATCCAATATTGGCTTCTCTTATGTTCTTATACATCAAGTTAAAACAGCAGCTCCGGAAACAAATATCACCACCAGTTGTCAATCAGAGAAAATCATTTATTATTTCCACCAAGTGGTGTCAAAATAATTCTGCTTTCACTTTTTTTGGGGGGGGGGAAGAGAGTGTGGGAGCTTACCCTGCCACATTCAGCAGGCTGTCCCAAAGGGTGGGCGCAGCCACTGAAAATGGGCATACATGGACTTCAGATGAGCAGACCGCTGGAAAAGAGGGAGCAACCAAAACAGAGGTGCCTAACAATGCTGATTAGCACACAGAATCATATAGAGAAAAGCATTCCACTAGATAGGAGGGTCCCAGGCCACGGAGCACTTTAAAGCCTCTTGGATTTGAATTGGGCCCAGGAACAGGCACGTAATCAGTGAAGATGCCAAAGCACAGGTGTAATATGATTGTGTTGGTATAAACCAGACTGGTATAAACCATTGTGTACCAACTGAAGCTTCCACACAGTTTTCAAGGCCAGTCCATGGACACCACATTACAATAACCTAAACTCTAGGTCAACACTATCAAGACACGGTTGGTGCATTTGATAGAGACAGCAGAAAATGGTCCTAGTCTACACTCTGCATGCTGTTGAAACATGATATAAAGGGCAAAAGATACAGACCTTTGAAAGTGACTTAAGTGCCCGCACAGCATCCCTGCGATCTTCAAGTAAGGTTGAGGAAGCTACTCTGTCACATAGCTTATGAATCTAGAAAAGATACACAGAAGCCAAATTAAGAACAGCATAAAACCATCAGTTATTTAGTTACATTTCTTCCTTTGCCACAAAACAAAGAGATATTCAATGTGGCCGTATCAGTTCTATGAAGGTGCTAGAAAACAACTTATTTGCCTGCCTGATCAACTGCTTTTTTTGTAATCTACTTTGAGTCTCAGTGAGAAAGGCAGACTATAAATGTAGTAGATAATTTGGCTGATTCCTTAAGGATCATCAGTCTTACTGTGAGATCGCCATGAAAATGGCTGCTTATCTGTGAAGCTTCCACTGAGTTTGGGGAAATACTCAGGGCTACCCTTGAGACTGACCTGGAAATCGCAACTGGTCCAGAATTTATTTTATTTATTTATTTATTTAGGTATTTCTACCCCGCCCTACCCCGCAAGCGGGCTCAGGGCGGTTTACAGGGGCATAAGCCCAACATAAAATCATTAAAATCCAATAAAATCACAGAATACAATCAGTAATATACTATTAATAATAATAATAAAGTGCTTTAAGTTCTTTAAGTTCCAAGATGGTCTGCAGTTGACTCTGCAGTTGGCTCCCACGGGAAATAACCCCTGCCAGCATTAGTTGTATCATACTGGCAGTATTAGTCCAAGCTAATCGGCTGGTCTTGCCGCCATGTAGTGCACCCTGCCGCCGGGCTATCAAGGGCGATCCAACTGAGATGGTATTTCCACCGTTGGTGGTGGTGGGAGCGGCGGCCCCTACATAAAAGCCTGGTGGAAGAGCTCCGTCTTGCAGGCCCTGCGGAATTGCATAAGATCCCACAGGGCCCTGATCTCCTCCGGGAGCTCATTCCACCAGGTAGGGGCCGCCACTGAGAAGGATCTAGCCCTTGTCGCAGCATAACGTGCCTCTCGGGAATCTGGAACCACTAAACGGTTCTGGGTCCCCGACCGAAGTGCTCTTGGGGGTATATACGGGGAAAGGCGGTCCCTCAGGTAGGTCAGACCCAGGCCATATAGGGCTTTAAAGGTAAGTACCAGCACTTTGAAGCGGATTCGGTATGCTATAGGCAGCCAGTGCAGTGCCTTCAACCCAGGCTTGATGTGCTCCCACCTGGGGAGGCCCATCAGCAGCCTAGCCGCCGCATTCTGCACCAGCTGCAGCCTCCGG